TATATATATATATATATATATATATATATATCAAATTTTTATGTGTTTTTGAATTTATTTTCGCAAAAGGTCGATTTTTTAGGTCGACTTAAAAATACGAAATTTTTTGGATCTATAAGTTTAAATCCGAAGTTCGATATTTCTCGGGTGGATTTTGTAGGATTTCGAATTTCGGATCCAGATTAACATTCGAGGTATGATATGTCCAACATGATGGATTGGAATCCTATGTTATTCCATCACATTTTTTGCAGTTCTTTTGTTATTTTTATAGTTTTTATACATCATCCAATTTTTTTGCAGTTTTTTTTCAATCATTCACAAACCCCAAATCTAATATCCGTTAATATATAAAAATCAATCTCTCTCTCTAGATAACACACGCAATATGAAAAACTGACAATGGAAACGATTTTTTTTATCCATATAATGCATCCTAAACCTATACTAAAAAAATATAGATTATAAAAAAGAAAAAAAATACATTTTACAATTTTTCTTATATTATCAAGCAAATTCCCTAAATATATATATATATATATGCATGAAAGCTTGGTAGTGAATATTATAAATAGACAAATAATTTTGTATACATACGGAAATTGGGTGACGTGGAAGCGGGTGAGGAGGACGTAAGGCGTGACGAATTGGGGGCAGCCAAAGTGGATGCCACAAGAAGGCCTAGCTGTGATTGACTTCTCGGTCCAAAGATTACACATGCGGGGTGGTCTTAGACCGAAATCTTTGACTTATATTATATATATATATATACATGCGCTAGTCAAAGTCAAACATTCCGTAATTTGTATCAATTTTGAAAACGACCCAACCAAATCTTGAATTGGGCACATTAATAGAAACGCCTACGCATCTCTCCAATGTAAACAAAATCAACTTCACTTCAAATGGTCCCCTGATAGAGACGGGAGTGGCCCATCCATTGGGCCTACTTGTGGGAATGACTTTAACCAATTTTTAATTGTTAAAAAAAAACTTCACTTCAAATGTTTAGGGTTTTGCAGCAGAGACGCTGGTCTTGCAAGACACGGCAGATTCCAGGTGCATACGTAGGGTTTGGCCGGCACACACCGATGATTGTGGTACACAAGATTGAACACACACACACACACGTGTGTATATATATGTGTGTGTATGTGTAAAGAATATACAGAATTTATCTGTATTCCTTTTTTTCTTCTTTTGTTTCTGCGTGTTTGGGAAAACATGATGGTGTGGCATTCTATCTATAAAGAAAAACGGGAGGTTAGCATCAGACGGAGAGATAGCTGATGGTGGGGGAAGCCATGAAGCGGGTGTGAGTGGAGCGGAACGATTTGCCGAAAGGGTCAGCCTCCAACCAATCTGCTGCACTGCTCGCTTCCTTGTTCTGTTTCTGCATCAGGTTCGTCAGGGCTTCCACGATCTCCGACACCGGAGGCCTGAACTCCTCTGCCTGTGTGCACAGCGATACAATGTCTGCGAACTGGGAGGCAACTCTCGACGAGAATGTGCCCGCAATGCCTGCATCTATCATCTGCTCCAAGCTCCTCCTGTCGTGCAGTCTACACGTTGCCCACTTCACCAGTAATTGCTCTTCCCTTGGCCTTGCGCTGTATCATCACTAGTATAACATTACGATATTCTTCGTATCTCTTTGATAAAAGGCTATGCTAATAGGGTTTTTTTTCTTGTTTACCAGTCAAAGGGCTTCCTTCCCGTTAGCAGTTCCAAGAGGAGGACTCCAAATGCATAGACGTCGCTCTTCGTGCCATTGCTTCTTGATTGGACGTGTTCTGGTCCGATATAGCCGGTGTTCTGTAAAGCTATCTCAGAGGCCTGCACACACATCAAAAATCTCAATCCCCATCACCGTTTTTTGATTTCTCAAGAACACTGAAGAATTCATTTTTTTTTCTTGCTTTTACCCTCAGTTTAACACTGTTGCTCGTGAGTGGCCTTAAGCTAGCTAGTCCACAGTCAGCTATACGAGGCATTAGTTCTTCGTCAAGCATGATGTTCTCAGCTTTCAGATCTCGGTGCGCAATCGGAGGGCTAAACGATGAGTGCAAATAGCTGAAAAGTTTTCAATCACCATGGGTATACAAGTACAGATACTGGTTAAATTTTTAATGGCAAGATGGATATACTCACTCCAACGCTCGGGCAACTCCTACAGCGATGCGGAGACGCAAGCTCCAGGAAAGCGGCTTGTAAACCTCGTCATGCATTGCGTCGTAGAGAGATAGGTTTCCTACATACTCGTAGACAAGAAGATGCTGCCTGTTCTCAATGCAGATACCAAGTAGTGTTATAATGTTTGGGTGTCTCAGTTTTGATGCTGTCCGAAGCACTTGAATGAATTGTTCCTCTTCTTGAAAAGACAGCGACGCTATGGGGATGTTTTTCACTGCAGAAAACTGTTTGCCAAATAAAACAAATGAATGTCAAAGAATCAGAATTGTGTTCAAATTTTCCGAAAATAAAAAAATGACTACTTACTTGACCATCTGGCAACTTAGCTCTGTAAACAGAACCAAGAGGACCCTCTGCAAGTAGGTTTTCCTCACTGAAACTGTTGGTGGCTAATTGAAGTTCTGCAAATGAGAACTGGTCCACGTATGCCGGAAATTGGCATGTCCCTGAGAAGCTTTTTCTACTGGTTGTTCTCTCGATTTTTATTGGCGGGTGTCGGACCCTCATGATCTGTGGGCTATCTTCAACAGAAAAATCTATGAAATGGGTAGGAACAAAAAAACTGTAAGAATGGTAGATTCAGTATTATAACTCAAGATGGAGAGATTAGGACCTCATCACCTCTTGTTGTACTGATTGGAAGGGAGTATGTTGTGCTAATGTCACTTCTGTGACTACTGAGCTTTCGTGCTCGTTTATGACTAAAGCGAACGGCAAATACCGCGACGAAAGTTCCCAGCAAAGCCATTCCTCCAACCATTATAACGATACTTCCAGCTACCACCCTCTTCTTGTGTTTCCCCTGTTTTTCTGGGCCAGGGAAGCGCTTCATGGCGCTTGACTGAGTTGTCGGTAAGCCACTGGCATTTTGCATCATCGGGATTACGTCCAAAGGAAACCTCCACGGTTTGTAGTTTTGGTCTACCTGAAACTTGTTTCCCCAAATCCTGTTGAGCAAACAGGAGAAACATGATGAGGCCTAAGGTGTTGTCTGAATCATTTTTCTTTTGAAATGGTGTCAAGTTCACTCACCACAGATGAGGAATAGACTGAAAATGACTAGGTAGTACACCACTAAACTCATTATCTTCAATATTCCTGAAGAAAGATGCAAGCATAGAACGTTGAGCATTAAAATAGAGACAGAGTAAAAAATGAAACTTCCGATGGTCGAAAGGACAACTACAGGTCAATTAAGGGAAGATCTGCTAGGTAGACGACTGATCCAGTGAATCTGTTGTTCTGAAGGTACCTGCAGTTTAAAGTGATCAGGGCCACATAGCCATTGAGCTACACATACATGCAGTTACGAAACTTGGAGTTTAGACATTGAGAAACTCACAGTGAAGTCAGACTCATGAGAGATCCAAAAGAGCTTGGTAAATCTCCGGTCAGATTATTGGAGGATAGATCCCTATCAAGGTTCATAACAACGATGTTTGGTTCATTGTGCAACAAAAGTTAAAACCTTGAATGAAAAGGTAACAGAAGTGAACAACTGAACTCACATTTCTTTTAGTTGCATCCCGGAAAACACATTTCCAAGAGGTCCAGATAATGAATTATGGCTCAGGTTCCTGTAGGAAAAGCAAATCCATCAATTTAACAAATCACTGGGAGAAAATTGAAGAGTATCCAATTGGCAATGAACCAAACTTACAGATACTGAAGAGATGTCAGTAGAGATAAGGAGTAAGGAATGCTTTGGCTCAGATTGTTATATGCCATGTTTCTGGGATTTTAACAAACCACGAGAAAAGCATGAAAGCGTAAATCACACGATGAATGCACTCAGTTAGGAACTTACAGGTGGGTCGCATTCGGAGGCAATCCATACGGAATTTCACCCTGGAGAAAGTTGAAGCTCACATCCCTAACAGAAACATCAAGGATTCAATGATTTTGTCCATACTGAATTCTCAAGAATAGAGAGAAATTCGCTTACAGAATCTTCAAGTTGTGAAGATGGTTAAGATGGCTTCCGAGACTGCCCCAAATCCTTAACCCCGGGATTCGACTGCAACACGGACAACTCAGCTTTTGCTCGAATGAAAACATATAGAGAAGTCAGCATAGTTTTAACAAGGAGCCAGGGAACATTACAACTCTACTATGGACGAACCGGAACAGGTGACTCCCATCCAGGATTCTCCACAAGGATCTCCACTTTGCAATTTCCATCCTTTCAGCTGCTGTGGACTGTTCAGGGCCTTGAACAGATCTTGAAGAACCCAAACTGACAGAAAAAATCGAAAAGTGAGACGATTGCTCATCGAACGAGTCCAGAATGTAGTTAATATATACATGACCTACTTAAATATGAAATCACGAGTAAAATTTTTCGATCAAGAAACGTAAAGAAAAACGATCGTTCACAGGAGAACTTGTCAGTAATTTTTCTTATCTCCAGAAGAAAGGCGGAAAAACATCTAAGCAAGATTCATTCTCAGCCTAGAAAATCTAAGTGAATAATCTAGAAATTACCTTCAAGCGGATCAGTATACGCCTCCGCTTGCGCAAACAGAACCCTGACGAACAGAAATGTGCCGAGATAGAAACACAATCGTTGTTTCTCCATCATCTCTGGGAACCGATTTTCCAGGAAATTTCAGAGAGAAAATTCCGAGTAAGAGAGAGAGAGAGAGAGAATGTGCAGTATCGATTCTTAAGCAGAGAATTGAACTTGCGAAGAGTGTCGAATGAAGAAACAGATCCAGAAGCGAAGTCAAGAAAGAGAGAAAGGTGCGAAGGATTATTGCAATTTTCTCAGACTTTCTCGCGTTTTCTGTGCAACCAAACAGAGAGAAAAGATCAAAGACGGCTCAAACACTATAGTGAAGAAGACGAGAGTTGAAACTGAATTCAAAGGCATATTAATGCGAATTTTCCACGTCAGCAAAGGCGGTTATGAACGTTGGAGACAGCGTTCAGGTGCATTTAGCACACCGTAGACGTTCCAATATTTCGCCCACAATGCAAGTATATTGCTCATTTTGTGATCATTTTTATGCTAAAACCAAATAAACGCTGAAAATTTTTCTTAATTATTTCCCAAATTTCTAAAAAGAAGTACAAATACAAAAATGCCCCAAGACATCAAACCAAGTACACATTGAGTGAAACTGGCTTCATACATACACAATCTCAGAACCAAGAAACATGAATGAACCCCTGTTTCTTTTCTACTGCAAGATAAACTTGGACAGGACAAGAAAAGGACCAGGCATTGCTCATCTTCTCAAGATTGGATCTGTTTCTTCAGATCCTCCCAATGTTTAGGTCCATCCGGGTGTCGGGTCACGTACTGTGTCTCGAAATATCTGTCCGAGCAAGCGAGAAGAGTACTTAACGCCAGCTCGTGATCCGCCTTTCCGTTGTTCTTGAGCCAAGAGTACATGGATAATCTGAGCTTGATCCGCTCTAGGGTAAACTTCAGACACGACGGGAAATTCACGAGAGTTGAGAGCGGATACCTGAGTTTGTTCACGAGGTAATCCACCTTTGCCTTGACGATTTCAGATCCTTGGCAGAGAATCTGAGGGGACGCTTTAACCATTTCCCTTACATCCTTCTCGTTCAGACCCAAACTCACGATGAAATCGTATCTCTCTCGGAGTTCTGACCCTCTGCCACGGAAGTTCTTGATTGCTCTATCCATGTCTTTCGAGTTCTCTTCATACCCGATGTCCAATAAAAAACGAGTCTTCATCATTTTCGACTTTATCTCCTCCCCAGTATCGGGTAGAGGCTGGATTCTTGACCCCAGGGTCCATTTCTTCATTTCCTCCGGGTTTTCTAGGATAATTTCACAAAGTCGTTTTTTCCCAGCATTCAAGTTATTGAGCAAGCTACCGGTCTTCTTCAAACTACAGGCACCGAGCCACAAGGAGTCAGAACGAAAAATCTTACCGATGTCATCAGTCTTCATCTCAATATCTTTTAGAAACAAAAAGCAACGCCTTAGATTTGCAACAAATGTTTCTACCTCAATTCGGGTCAACTGCTGAAAGAAAGATCGAATCTCGCTTTTAGATGACCCGAGTTTGGTTTGAAAGCCAACCAGCATTAGTGTCCATTTCCCTGAACTCTCGAAAATGAGCCTCGGATGCTTCCTGATTAACCCACAGAGCTCATCTTCGTGGAAACCGATATCTCTAAGAAAGTTTAGAGCCCGATGGACGCCGCTCCAATCATATGACTCCTTTTCCGACAAGCTCTCCACTAACCAATTGTCCCCCAACCCAACAGATTTCAGAATCTCTAAAACATTAGCAAACTCGACATTCTTATCCCCAATCAAGATACTCGGACTACAAACCATAAGTTTGGATAGACATGACTTGTTAAGTCCCATATCCTCATAAGCTTGAATCTTGGATGCCAAAACCCCGGTCCCATACCCGAAAACTGCAATAGCTTCCTTATAAATCTTCCCCATCTTCTTGCGGCCAATCCCGTAGTTACACAAAACATCGTGATTTTCTAACAGCAAAGTATCTTCATTCAAGAACATCTTACCAGCAGGAAGCAGATTACAATATTCGGACTGCTTAAAACCTAAACTCTCGAGGAAAGGCTCAAACTCATTTACCGGGTGAAACCTCAAATATCTGGAGATAGATTGAGCAACGTCAGCTACATCAGTGCTGCCATTGATCTTCTTCAGAACATTTTCAAGAAAAACGGGAGCATTCTTGCTCATACTCTCAGCAATCAAGAACTGCAAACCCCTCGTGCCATAGAAGTAATCTAACATTGCAGCCTCGGCCTTTTTACGAACAGTGGGCTTAACCCAAAAAGCTTCTTGAAGACCAATTCTTAGAGGCTTGTGGTTTGGAACCTCTGCGTTACCCCCACGGATTCGTCGGACATGTAAGCCATGGAACTACAAAGAAGAGACAGCAAATATAAGGGTCTTTGGTTCACACAAAAGGAATTAGAAACTTTAGCTGCCAGCTCCATTGTTCGTGGGAATATATCTAACATGCTATCATCAAGTCGGAATGTTTTCATACCCATCACCCATGATCCGAGATATATTTGAAGAATCAAATTATCCAAAATAGTTGGAACCAAGATAGTATATTTCCTCACAGAGACCAAGATTGGAGAAAGTAAAGACACATAACGCAGTGGATGAAGAACAGAACTCTATACTCTGTACTTCGAAGAACAAAAGAATCCTCATGAGCAAATACATCAATGCATAAATGATACTTGCCAGTTTCATAAGTGAACATTATTCACCAGACAAAATAGAAAAATGGTTCCTTTTTCGAATCACCTCAGCGATATTTCATTTCTGTCCGCTGAAAATCGACAAGTAGCCATTACCCAACAAAGAAAACGGCACCAAACACAAACCCTAAAAACAGCGGCGGAGAATCACATACATGCAGAAGAGAAACTCTTTGGTCCTACTAAGCACAGATGAAGTGAAAGGAATCTAGCGTATGAGAAACTCATTTTCTCTAAAATCGAATCACGCGTTCGGACAAACTGATTCGAGCCATCAAAATCTAATCCCAGGTACCGCATAAGAGATTGAAACCCTGACATCTCATAAACCCCGACTGCAAAGAAATCGATGGAGAATTGGGGACGCAACAACACGGGGAAATCGAACGAAACACGAACTCACCGACAGATTCCGGAGAAGAGATTGACTGATATCGAACAGGGTTCCGGCAGATTTGCGTAACCCCGACATGGTGGGGAGAGAGTACGAGTGACTTTGCAAGCTGAGGGTTGCAACTTACAAGTGTGTTTTGTGTCCACCGCCAGCAGTCTTCCGCCCGTACAACGCAAACGCAAACGCAAACGCAAACGCAAACGCAAACGTACCTCCTCCCTTTCATCGCGTTCATATGTGGTGTCCTTCAAGGCTTCAAGAAGTTTTCCCTTTCTGAAAACTACGTCGTTTCTAAAATTGTTTCGAGTAATGTTTTTGTTTGAACTTGTGCGATATGGGCCATATCAATGGCCCACTAAATACGGCCCAATACTATCTATATTTTCTTCCTATACTGAAGTTCTGATTGGACAACATAGAATTCAGATTAGTTAGGAATTAGACATGTGATTATCATATCCCTATTGAAATTTTTTTGTCGATGTATGGATAAATCACTATTACTATCTGGCTAATTAAACGAAAAAAAAACATAATTAGAATACATTTTTCGGTTTGGATATATAAAATAAATCAAATAAACTACAATTGTATCCAAATTTTAAAATGACTGAATGTGTTTTTCGTACCAAATAAATCGAATTCAAAACGAATATGAATATAGCAACAACAAAAAAGTAAATCTAGTAACAATACACATGTATCCGAATTTATAAATAATAATAATAATAATAATAATAATAATAATAATAATAATAATAATAATAATGTGAAAGCAAATTCAAAAAGATATTATTCCAAGACAAAAGCATCAAACTCCACATATTCTACTTTGTAATTTAACAAGCCTTTTCCTTGTCTATTTTTACCTAAAACAAATTAAAAAAATATTATACAAAACAGATAATACAGGCAGGTATTGAAATTTCGCGTATGTATTTATAATCTAACCACGGTAGTGACGATATTGATTGATAAATCATATTATTCATCTTTGAAGATGATCCAATGGTTATAATTAATGTTATAGAATAGCTTGATCAACTATATGTTAGTTTAAAAATTACAATTCTGAAAATCATCTCCCTAAAATGTTTCTACATCCATTATTTTTAGAACAAAATAATCGTATACAGATACATTTTCTCAATGAAGTTCCAATAGAATAAAAAGAATTTTGACAAATGTTTCCATCAAGATCTGAAAAAATATGTATTTTTTTTTACAAATTATAATTCTAAAAAAAACTCACTAAAATATTTATACAAATATTGAGATTATAAATTATAATTTTTAAAGAAATATAAGATTTTTTTTTTTGAAGCACCAATGTTTTTATATGCATTTTAATAAATAAGATTATCAGCTTCTTATAAATTTTTTTAAAAAAGGAAAATAAAATTATAAGAGAAAACTATAAATAATAATATCATTGAATTGTTTTTATTAAAAAAATATATATATAAATCATTGGGTTTGTAAGTTCGGCGAAGCTTGAGGCTAAACCGGCGTTCCCGCTCGTCGTCTACTGCCAATATAAAAACCTCATCTTACCGGCCATTGCCCGTCGTCAATAAATGACCGAAATACCCCTCTAAAGCAATTTGCGGATAAATCCAACCAAGTTTTAATAAAAAATAATAAGAATAAATAACTAAATAAAATCATGAACTCCCAACAATTTTTTTGAAACATATAAGCGGGGGGGATTTTTTATTTTATTTTTGGGGGGATCCTAAGGGATTTGTTTTCCCGTTCAAAAGCTGCCTAAATATTCCATCTATGGTCTAAGATTCCCTCATCGACTTTATTTGCCGAATGTCTCATGGAAATTGGCCAATTCAATTTTTGGTTTCTAATGTTTCCATATGAATTTTGGATTTTTTTTATTCCTTAATATCTTATAATATAGATGAGTATCTTTACTCTAATCAATTTCGGTGTAAAAGATTAAAAAAAACTGAAAAATTATAATTACCCAGATAATTTACGTTTTATCAGATAATAACAACTATACCTAAAACAAAGTATTTAAATCTAGTACCCAAATCAACTTTAAAATTGTACACATCAGTTAATTAGGGGTAAATTAGTAAATATAAATAATGATAAATGATATACTAGACAAGATAGATGTAAATAATAATCAATGACAAATTAGTAAGCATACATGTGAGGTGTTTTAAAATCAAGTATCCTATAATCTAAATTCAAGAATATTACTATTCCATTATCTAGATCTGTTCCAAATAAATTATATAAAAAAAAAATTCTAATAGATTCCTGCCGTAATTCGAATTGAACCAGCGCTAATTTATTCACCGTGGAAAAAAATACATTGTCACCAAATAATTTTAAAAAAATCTGTAACAAATAATTAGTAGAATTATAGAGCTCTATGGTCCGAACTATACAGTTTTAATTGTCGGTGATAGTTATTTACAGTTGTTTGCTTTTAATTGTACGTATGGTAATTATGAGTTTCATTTATTCCCCTATGATTTTACTGAAAAGATTCATTCTTTTCTCTCTATCTCTCTCTATCTTTTTTTTTTTTTTTATAATCCGAAAGTTCACCGGACCTTTGGCCCGACTATATCTCCCAGAGAACCGGTGCTCTCTCCCCATGATAGATCCATTGTTTAAATTAATTTTTTTTAATTTTCTATATATATATATAATAAATTAAAAATCCACTTGTTAGATGAACACAAGCTAAATATATCAGAATTCGTTTTCCATTATAAATTTAATAACTAATTCAACATATATAAGAACGTGTAAAAAATCTTCTAATCATGCTTGATGTTCTTCGCATGTAGAAGGCATGCTTATTAGTTAGTAAACAAAAAATATATAAAAACATGTGAAATTCACAAAATCTATTTTGAGAAACTTAAAAATCTATCGAAGTAAGATTACTAATTGCTTGAATGAATTATCTATTAAAAAAATCGAATATATTATTCATTTAATTACAATTTAATCTGTAAAAGTATTTAATTTGTGTATTATGCATCACATAAATACATTATAAATCATTATATATATATATATATATGGAACCAATTTTTAAACTTTTATTTGTATTTGCAACGGATTTGCTAATTCACCATTTCGCTTACAATTTAATTTACGGAAATATTTTTAATTATACATTGTATAAGTACGTTTAAATCATCATTATACATATTCATCAATATTAAAAACTAACATGAATCATATGATTTTTTTTTTAAAAAAAAATATTATATTCCTGTGTGTTTAAGAGTATGAAAAATGTAGGACTAATTACTTGAATCTAAAGCGGCTTCCCCGTTTCAAAATTTAAGATCTTCCTAGTATTCGGCGAACGCTGTCAGAAGAAGAAGTGGGTCACATCCTGACAAAAATCAAATCTCCAAAGTCGAGTCAGTGGCATTCCTTTAAATAACCTAAAAGATCAGTGGCATTTCCGTCATTGTTTACGCGTTCACAAGATTTATATTTCTATCCTCCCAACGAGAGATCCTCCCTAACTGAAGATATAATTTTAAAAGAGAAGAGAGAGAGAGAGAGAGAGAGAGAGAGAGATGGCACGTACTTCATCACATCCTCTCCATGTCATGCCACTCAAATCAACACCATCTTCATCATCATCACCATCATCAAGCTCCATGAAACTCAAAACCCTAATCCAAACCCTAGTTTTGTCCCATGTCTGTCGATTCATCCGTGAAATCTCCAGAGCCTCGTCCATTTTACTCAGAGCGTTGAGGAAGAAACACTACCATCACTTGTTATTCTATCCCAAGAGAACCTCCAAGAAGCAGAAGAAGATATTCTTTGGGTCATTCAGGCTTCATTACAACTGGTGCTCGTCCCATGTTGTCCCCGTGTCCGTTCCCGTCCGTCTCCCCGACGAACTCTATCTGGCCTACGATTCCACTTGGAATTCCGTGTTTTCCACTCATTCTCGAGATAACGAGGTCAACCTTGACGAGGTTTTCGTCGACGAAGAGCCGCCGCAGCTCAGGGGATATCTTGAATGGTTGGAGGATAAGGTTAAAGATGGCGAATCGACGAACGGGGAAGAGGGTAATGACATCGATAAATTGGCCGATATGTTCATAGCAAGTTGCCATGAGAAGTTCATGTTGGAGAAGGTGGAGTCGTTGAGGAGATTCCAAGACATGCTCGCTAGAAGTGTGTAATGAAAAATGCCTCATTAATTTACCATCTTCCCTTTTTTTAATTTTTTTTTTTATAATTTCTAAAGTTTCGAACCGGTATGAATTTTCATTGGAAATGTAATCGAGTGGGCGGAAATTGGTTTGGAAGTTAATATGGATACGATTTTGTATGGGACATGTAACCCAAATGGTTGGAAAATACTCGAAATATTGGTTCAATGTGTTATTGATTCATGAATGAAAAAAATGATTTCTATTTAATTCTTTGAGAAACTAAACTGAACAAAATTGTACTAAACCGGTTTAAACCGGTCTCGCGCTATCCAACAGTTTGGTGGTGAATCATTGTCACGTGAATCAGAATCTTGTGGTGAATCAGCTGAAGCCGAATCATTGTCATGCACAAAATCAAATCTAGAGTTTAATGTTTGCCACAGAATTTTTGGGACAACTAACGAGAAGCCAGCCACGGTTCATAGGAAGAAAAAACGAAGGGACAAGAGTGGGCCGTTGGTGGGTTAGGGTTTGTCGGGAAAATATACGAGACTGTCTATTTTCATTTTTGTCTTATCCCGAGGTTGTATTGTTTCTTCCATTTTGGATAATTAAAACATCTTGGATCTTCTAACATTTTTTTTTTTGTTATTTTCTTTGATAAAATTTTGTACGAGTTTCTCGTGAGACCACCATTTGGTAGTCATCTTGTTGGAAGTGTGCAGAGATAAGATGGATAAGAAAATGACGTTTTGAGAAGTTGCTTGTCTTGAAATTGTATTCTTATTCACATAATTCTAGAGTTCGGAATCTGAATTCAAAAATCGTGAATTTCAGATATCCGGACTGCTCGATATCCGTGAATATTTTAAATATTCGGATATATGTGAATACCATGCCGATGAGATGTACCCGAGAGCAAAGGCAAGGGTTATAGCGAGGATTTGTATAGTTTTAGCGTATTGATGGGTTATCCGTTCGATATGAATCCGAACCCGATGTATGAAATTTTGATACCCGAAAATCAGGTTTTTTTCCCCAAAACCTATAAAAAGTACATGATAATGTAAACGTCGATTACATTATTTATGCGCGTCGATTACAATTAGAGTATTTTTTCTTGTGGAAATTTTTTTTTTTTAGTTTTTGCAAATACGAATTTTGATGAGAATGTGGCTCGAGATTTCTTCTGCAAAGTTTGATTTTCAGGAACATGGAAACCCTCTGCTGGAAAAAGAAGCTTTGTAAGGGCTTGACGGTCTTTTGGGAGATCTCTAGCTTGTAATAGATTACCGAGAATTTAGTAGAGATTGCGTGGTTCTCGATTGAGTTGCCAAAGTACACTCGGATCTCATAATAAAATTTTAAAACTTCCGATTAAAACTTTTAGGATTAATGGATTTAATATTTGAAATTTTGTCTCCCTACGAGATAAAAGTCGTTTCATGATTCTAGAAATTGGGACATGCGATCTTTAACTTGTGTTCTTCTGCTTTTCTTTTCTTTTCTTTTTTTTTTTTCTAATATCCTCTCTCTCTCTCTCTCTCTATGCATATATATATATATATATTATATATGTGTGTGTATATATTACACACACTAAGTGCCGTATTTCTCACGACGAATGTGATTGCAGATAAATATTATACTTAATTTATATATGTCTTGTCTCTTTATTCAAATATGAATGGAGTGCTCATGAACTATTTTCGAGTTTTCACTTCTAACTATACAATAAGTAATTAAATTATTTCATTTGTAATTGAATTGTGTCATTAAATTCGGTCGTAGTTAAATAGAAAAAGTCGAAAGTGATAGAAAGATTCTCTAGTCAGCGTCTCACATGACATGTACCTATTTTTTTTTTGTAGGTTTCCATACCGTCGTGACTGATGAACTCCCTATAAATTAGTTTCATTTTAACTATAATAATATAATATAATTTATTTATATGAATTATTTGCCTTGTTTTATCCATATAAAACCATTTTTTTTAGATAATATCATATAAAATTTAGTTTCAACTTATTTATGGAAAGGATAATCTTTAATCAATATATTAAAAATGGAAATAAAAATATTAAATTCTCAATTTGAAAATTAATAGTTTTTAAAAGGTTAGTTATTTTATTAATTTTAAAAGTTATATAGAAATGTAGATGACATACGGTGCGCGGGTGTTGGGCTTATAAATATAAAATGGGTCGGAAAAGATCGATATGGGCCGTTATCAAACTGGGCCGAAACAAAGTCGGTTGATGTTGTCATTGCAAAGAAAATACTTTCTAAAATAAATAAATAATGACGTCACCCAGCATTTACCGAGGCGGGAAAATCATCCAAATAACCACTTGAGTCGCATCTATTTCAGTGTACCCCACGAAAAAAAAAAAAAAAAATTTCAATTTTAACCCACTTTTCGATTGAAAAAGTCCGAAATACTTTTTTCGTTTTATTTTTTATGACTTTATTATGACTAACATATAACTGATATACAACTAAAATAAGACAGATAATTTTTTTATCACCTTTTTTAGAATCAATTGTAACTATATTTAGACTTAATTATGAAGTCGTAATAACGAAGTTGTTTTCGAACGGATAAATATCGTAATTCATTAAGGCTAATTTCGTCTTTTCATGGGAAAAAAAATGTGTTATATTTTTGGTGATGTACAGATGAAATTGATGCGACCCAAGTGACTTATCTGGGTAAAAAACACGACCGAGGCGAAACCAACCACTCGGGTTATTATTAAAACCCTAAATATTTTTTTTGGGTAAGGAAAGACAACTTTTGCGGTTAGGGTTATTTGTTTTCCTCTCTCTCTCTCCAGCGATTTCGCTCGTCTTCTCCGATTTACTTCTGTTCAATCGGTATCTAGGGTTTCCCTATCATCTGGAATCGGATCTGTACTAGGGATGGATGCTCGCAAGAGAGGACGGCCTGATGCTGGCGCCTACAACTCCAATGGCGGATTCAAGAGGTCCAAGCAAGGTTTGCTCTTTCGCACTCTCCGGCTTTTCGACTTCTATTTGTTGTTTCCTTTTTTTGGAAAAATTGTTGGCCCATAGACATGGTTCGTTGGCTCTGATTGGGGTCTGGAGTTTTTTTCTCTTGTTCTTTTTCGTTCATGGGCTCTGATTAGGGTTCAGTTGCGAGATCTTTTCTTCCGGGATCAACAGTTGTGGTTGTAATCGTGCTAGGTTACAGGAAAAATACTTAGGATTTTACGCTGTGTTTGTCTGCTTCTTGTGGAGAGAGCATTTTGTGTTCCTTCCATTATATTGTTTTGTTATCTCTTTTCTCTTCTGTTGTTGCTTGAATTTTGGAGTGTTCACTTCCTTAGCTCCGCAGAGAACTTACCATGAAAAAAGTTTTGCCCTTTATCCGAGAGACGTCTAAGTACCCTATTAGTTTTTCAGTGGAGTAGCTTCGGCTAATCGGGAACTAGGGTTTAGGGCATTCAATTGGAGTCCAAAGGTTATGTTATCGAACCTCAGAAAAGTTTTAACTAAGAAAAAGCACTTAATGTTTGCAACAGAGATGGAATCATATTCAACTGGTTTAGGAAGCAAATCGAAGCCATGCACAAAATTTTTCAGGTTATAATCCTTTCCTGATTGGATTGATATTCGAATTGTTGTTATCTTCAACTCAATCCTGAATTAACAAGTGATATTGTGTAATTTTGCTAATGAAGTGGTTAGTTGTTATACAGGTACGTAACCTCGTCCATCCTAAACGAGTTAAAAAGATTCAATTCAATGTAACAAACGTGATTCCTACTATGAATGGATAAGCCTATCTGGGAGTAGAATTTGAGAAACGAACGGATGAACTCAACTGGTGATTATAACTCATGAAATCAACCAAAACCTGAATGTTCTTTGAGCTGTGACAGCCATTGAGAAAAGCTGTTATACCCTTCTGTTTGATGGTAAGGTATGAGAAATTTGCATATGAAACTATGGAATAAGGTAGACAGGTAAGTAAGGCCTCCTGCATTTCCCTCGTGCTATCCACAGGGAAGTATGTATTGTTGCCCAAGATATTGTGATTCTTCTTTTCTTTCACTGAAAGTTGTGTCGGGTTTCGAGCATACCATTGTTGCGTTTCTCTATGGATATGCCTTTTGCCTTTTTGTCTCTGACTTTTGTTTCTCTTGCCCCATGTTGATGTCATCTGTTTTACTCTCTTGACGGTTTATGCTTTTATCGCAGCACTTCTGGATGTCCTTTCGGTGAGAACTGCCACTTCTTACACTATGTTCCTGGTGGGTACAACGTGGTGTCCCAGATGACAAATCTCGGTCCGCCAGTCCCACAAGTCTCGAGAAACATGCCGGGATCTGGCCCGGGCCGATATTCTGGGAGAACAGAGCCAGGACCAGGCCCTGTTTCAAGCTTCGGGGCCTCTGCCACTGCAAAAATAAGCGTTGACGCCTCTTTAGCAGGTGCCATCATAGGGAAAGGTGGGATCAATTCCAAACAGATATGCCGACAGACAGGGGCAAAGCTATCGATCCAAGATCACGAGAGAGACCCGAACCTGAAGAACATCGAGCTGGAAGGAACGTTTGAGCAGATCAACGAGGCAAGTGCAATGGTGAGAGAGCTCATAGTGAGGGTTGGTTCCGCAGCCAGGAGACCCTCTGGTGGAGGTGGAGGTGGAGGTGGAGGTTCTGAAGGGAAACCCCATCCGGGGAGCAACTACAAGACAAAGCTATGCGAGAGATTCTCCAAAGGGAACTGTACTTTTGGAGATAGATGTCACTTTGCACACGGAGAGGCCGAGCTGCGCAAACCAGGAGTTGCTTAGGAAGTTGTGTTGGGAGCACTTGTCTGAAAAAGCCGGTATTACCCCAACCTTTGACTCTCTTTCTGGCCTTAATATCACTGTCTGTTTGCCTTTGTTTCGAGAAACTAAGTTAGCTCCGTTGTCGTTGTAGTTAGTTTTGGTGGGGAGTTCCTTTTTTTGGTTTCGTGCAGATTGGTTTGAACCGTGGTAGCGGGTAGTGTGCTTAGACCAAGCTTTAGAATGTATTCTTCTCTCATAGATTCGATGTTTAAGTTTTAAACTTGATTTGGATTTTGTTTGGTCTGTGGGATCTGCTGTGAAATCTGTTTTCTGGTTTTATTGTTTTTCTGTTTAAAGATTTCAAGAAACAGAGAAAGGGAAATTAAAGACATGCCTACCATAACCCATTTGAACACATATTTCGGCTATTTTGGTTCATTTGAATTCGGGTTTGTAAATCATAATTACTGGTAAATTGGGTGTAGATACTGTGATTTCGTGTCTTGTGATATTGGATATAATTATAAAATTTTTGTTTATATTTATTAATAATATGTTTGATTTATAAATTTACAAATTTATACATTAATTTTGTGCAATTGGGTCAAAATGGGTAGTTGTAGTTTCGAAGCAGAGTATATACGGGTGTTTTAGGCCCATTGGGCCTCGTAAAGCTCGATACATTTAAGTTTTATTTTTATTTTCAGTTATACAGACATAAAAAGCATGCCATGTCACTTGATACGCCATAGAAAGTTAGCCTAAAACGGTGTCGTAACAGGAAAAGCGAAACTGCCAAAGAGAACGCGTCAAACTGCTCTGAAGCCCAACACGCGTCAGCTTCTGGTAACATCTCCACTTTTTGTCTTAACGCACAGACCTCCACGTGTCAGGCAAAGAGCTTCTATAGCCATCTACCTCTGGTTGAACGACACGTGTGAATGACGTGGGAGACGACCCTGCAAAAATGAGCTATGGGTTCCACGTGGCACAACCCGGGAGTCCTCCGCCACGACTATTTATTGTGCAAGTTCCTCCACCGAAGGGACATAAACGAAAATCTGAAGATTCTTCTGGACCACCGAACGGACACAAACTGACAGAATCACGAAGGAAGAGAGACAGAGAGCGTAAAAAATGCAGTCGATGAAGGAGAAGGCTTCGAACATTGCAGCTTCTGCGAAAGCTGGCATGGAGAAGACCAAAGCCACTTTGGAGGAGAAGGTTTCACTCTCTCCTTGCTGCTCACCACCATCTTCCAGTTTCGTGTTGTTCTTTCTATCTTCGATCGTGTTTCGCCATTCTTGAAGTTGAATCTTGTTTCTCTGTGTTTCTTTCTTTGCTCCTCAGGCGGAGAAGATGACGACGAGAGACCCAGTTCAGAAAGAGATGGCGACGCAGAAGAAAGAAGACAGAATCAACCAAGCCGAGCTCGAGAAACGGGAGGCGCGTGAGCACAACGCGGCCGCCAAGCACGCAGCCGGCGCCGGCCTTGGGAGCCCGGGCTACACCACTAAGGGAACAGGTCATCTGGGCTCCACCACCGGACACGGAACCGGGGCCCTGCCTGGCCACGGCATTTCGCCCGCGGTCGAGGGTACGGTCGTAACCGATGCGGGGACCGGTCGGACCATCGGCCAGACCGCTCGTACGGGAGGTGGTGGCACCACAGGGTTCACGACCGGTGGGGATTACCGTGGATAGGTTGTGGTTTTTGTTTATCTCAAATGAGTACAAACTTTTTTACGTTGTCTTTGGTTTTGGTTTTGTTATGGTTTGACCGGTCGTTTTTTCTTTCGGATGATGTGTTTGTGGGGTTTACTTGATCTGATTTTGCGTGTTTTTTCTGTAATAACCTAAAGTTTTTTTTTATTGAAATAAAACGTTCCTTGATGTATAGCGTTAATGTACTGGGTTTACGATACCGCACATATTGCCTTTGGTATATTGAAAAAATGGGCATTCTTCTCTAGGCCCATTTTCTTTTTCTTTAATGTGGAATATATTTTAATATCTTGTTCTATATCATGACGCATTTCGACATTGTTCAAAGGCAACAAAAAAAAGGTTAAATGAATTCGTTCATGTTTTTTTTTTTTGGGAAACTCTTATCCTACCACCCTTCGGATCAGACACTAAACAACGCAATGTCTTTCAATCCATGGACCGGACGAGAACGATATGATGACAGCATCGCGGACCTGAGAAAATCCATCACTCTGCGCAGTAGTTGGCAAACTACGCAGAGCAGATAAACCAGCCTCGTAAAACTGACCGATTCAATGAGAGTTTCCATACTTGGATTTCAAACCCACAATCTCTTGGTAGAGGAGAGTTGTCACTAACAATTAGGATGAGGGATTCCCTGAATTCGTTCATGTTCCCATGTGTGTTACATGAAAAGGCCAAAAACACACATATATATATATATATATATATATACAAGTTGATACATCTTGCAAATCGAAAGATTTAGGTTGACTTTGCTACGTAATTTCGGACACACGAAATAATGTGTTTTGTGTGAATTCTGCCGTCAAAAACGCTCTTACCGTGAGACACACGTAAGGGTTTTGTTTTGCATTAGGGTAATGAACGACGCTTTTGCTTTTGCTTAAGCGTCAAGGCATTGGTTATCGACTTCTACTTTTTACCGTTAATGGATTTGAAATTTTCTCTCTCTCCGTTCCAAATCCCCGATTTGATTAGGTGTCTAGGGTTTAGGTGGTGACAGTGTGACCCTAATGCATTGTGCCAAATCATTCGTGATTTGTCTGCCTATTTGGTCTTGACATGCTGTACTCATTTATAGAAATCCGATAGATACCTAAAGAAAGTACTACAACACTTAAAAAAAATGGTTATGTCTATACAAAAAGTATGACCCATTAAATTTAATCACATAAAAAACAAAATTCGTGTATTTTTTTTTTGGGATTTGACCAAAAAACAATGGTTATGTCTATATAAAAAAAAATGGAACCCATTGAATTTAATCGTATGTACTTTGAAGGATGCATCTGTATCTTTCAGTATCACTATAATATATCATGTATTTTTCCCACACGTTTTATTAAATTGAAATTTAATTTTGTTGGAAGCCTCGTTATCAATCGTAGTGTCAAAACCTCAAAAGTCTATGTATGTTGATACACAAGTGGACAAAAACTCTTTATATTATATTATACATTTTTTTTTCTTCTCCTATCTCACCAATATAGGTGTTTGAACTTTTGCATATTGCTTTTTTAAAAAAAAAATATATTTCATAATTGTTAGTAAAAAATTCAACTACTCTTACATTCAATTATTCTCCATACTTATAGAATTATGAATTAAATATTATGGTTATTGTTTCACCGTTTAAATCACAAATTTAAAAACTATGTATAATATTAAATTATTATTATAATCATAAACATATTTTATGGTGTGTTGAATATTATATAATGTTTCTCTATTTACTATATAGATGTTAAAGTGAAACAAATGGAGAGATTAAACACATTAAATCATATATAAAAAATGGAGGAATGGGTTCATTCAATGCCATTTTTATTATTGTTAGTATCGAGATGTGCCACATTATCTTAAAATTAAATGTGGCCAATTTTTTCGTTCCATAAAAAATATATAATGGAAAACAAATAAATCTTATAAATTAAAAGCAATCGTAATATATATATATATATATATATATATATATATATTAAGATTGTGATAATATTTTTTGTAGATTCATTGTATATAGTTATTTGTGTAGAGATCTAATTTGCGTGTGTATGTAATTCTACGTATACGTAAACGTAACTATCTTATTCTCTATTAATAAGAAAATAACTTTCAAAGACCAAGTTTTGTTTTGATTTCTGGATAACATATGCATTAGAGTATATCATATAAATACATTAATTTGTTATTAACTCTCATATTAATATGTTACAGGGATTTAAATAAAAGATTTTTTTTCAACGTTCTGTTTAAATCATAAATTTTACAGAGAAATATAAAATTATAGTGTTTTTTTTTTAAAAAAAAAAGTTCAAAAAATTAAGAAAATTCGGTCTAATCACATAAGACCGGATTGATCCGTGAGCGGAAGATGAGTGTGATCCGTCTTTCCATTTCAGAGAAAACTTATTCTTTTAATTTATATTACAAAAGTCTACAGTTTTCTATTGTATTATAATAATTTAATGTTTTAATTAAATTATATGCACTATAAAATTATTCATCGAATAGTCGATCATTTCTAATTATATTTCTATTAAAAATTTAATCAATATGCTAAGTATTGATGTATAGTTGATAAAATATATTTTTTTAAAATATATATATATAAACATTACATGATTTAGGTTTGTTTTATTAATTTATCTTAATTTTTAAAATTAATATAACGTTTATATCGTATGATTGATATAATAAAAGACTTCAAATATTGGCTGAAAACAAAACTATACAATATTATTTCATAGTTTTAGAATAATACACGACACAAAAATATTAAAATATGTGGTCCGAATGAGTAGGCTTTTTTAAAAATTTTAATGATGAGAGACATGTTTCTTATGATGAAAAATATAAACGTAAACGTGGACAATTTTCTTATCAATCGCCTGCTTGTATTATATCAATAATGAAAAGTTTTCGATTTTCTTACAATAAAATCAATATATAATTATATTTAAATCAATTTTATTTTTAATTTTGAATTTCAATTTAGTTGATTAAATTTTTTTATCGTTTTTGAATAAGTAACTTTAATAAAAACATGCACGAGTCAATTCAAATGAATTTCAGAATAAATTTTTTATAACAAAATAAAAATATTGATGCAATAAAAAAACTAAAATCAAAATTGAATATATGATCAAATCGGGTAGAACACATGGGGTTTCTGGTATTTCTATACCCGAATCTTGTCTGGTCCTCGTAGTTCTCGCCGTTGCCTTCCATCCTTCCCTTCGACTCCGTTTGCCCTCTCACCACCTCGTTGTCGTCAATATAACATCTTCATCTGTCTCTCAACCCTTTTATTTACATTTTTTATATTTTATTCCGTCCGTTTCAAAATATTTGTTGTTTTAAATTATTTCATATATTTTTTTTAGAAAATAGATCAAAAGTCATATATACCCTTATTTGATAATAAAACTATATCATCATTAATAATGTATTAGAATTTGGTAGGGATAAAATTAGAAACTATTATAAAAATTATTTTGAAAATATAAAACTAAAAATATTTTGAAATATAGAAAATAACCTAAAACTACAAATATTTTGAAACGGAAGGAGTAAATTTTTATTTTTTCGACGACGATCTCATGATTAAAATTTTATGAATATTCAGATACGATTATAGAAATTTTAAAATTTTTGTCTATATATCTATGTTCTCCAAATTAGAACGTACAAAAACACGACTAAACTAAGCAGACAGGTTTTTAAGCAGACAGGTTTTTATTTATTATGCAAATGTTGTTTTTTTCCAAGCAAATTCCTTAAATGCTATTGTTTGTATTTGTATTTGTATTTGTCGTCTATGGTGTTAATTATGTATCTTTTAATCATATTTTCGATTTAATTTGTTTCTATTCGATTTCGTCTTTGATTAAAAATGATTATTTTTAAAACATTTCCTTTTATATCTTTTAAACCCATGTAATATAGTTTTTAGAAATTATATATAATTAATGGGTATATAAAAAATTACATTAATATATATATATATATATATATATATAATCACGTATTATTTTGGTGGTCTAATTTGAACCGGTGGCCATGAAGACGTTGTAGCCACCACACGCATGGGCTTTGGAGAAAAGGACAAACCAAAACTAATTAATTAAATTTTAATTGTTGTTTAATTGTGGTTAGTGGTTACTAATAGAGCTATTAAATTCATAAAAATCCACGCGAACCTCCACCTCTCACCCCTTGCAGTTCACGTGACTCATTTCAGAGTTTTAGACTTACAGGCCGAAAGCACCTTCAAGATATTTTTTTATATATATATTAATATAATATATATGTGTGTGTGTGTGTGAGAGAGAGAGAGAGAAGAAAAAAGATAATATCTAGAGTATATTATTTTTTAATAAAGAATTATAAACACACACTCTAAATTATCAAAAGCGGAAAAAAATCTCTTTAAATGGAAAAGAGGTTGAGAAAGGCGTTCGGTTTCGGTAATATTTTTAAAAATATTGGAAACCGGTTTTAAAAAAATATCTGTCTCATTTATAGTACATGGGTTTTAACAACAAAAATATAATTTAATTTCAGGCTCATCAAAACCAAAAAACCAAATACAAGTAATTATAACAAAATCAAAACGTTTAAAGTTGAAAATTGAAAATTTATATTAAGAATAGAACTAAATTAATTTCTCGTACCGAGAAAAAATCGAACCTAATTGGGTTTTATGAATTAAAAAAAAGGACGAAATTCAAACAAAAATTGGAGAATTTATGTGATGGGAAAAAATGTAAAAAAAAAAAGAAAAGGGAAAAAAGGAATGGAGCGAAAAATGTGGGGCCAAATTGGAAGAGAGAGAAGCTCTTATGTGTCATTATATACGCGCCCTCGATCCCGCCTTTCGAATTACGGGCCGACCATCAAAGTTGAGAGAGATAGATATTGGGGGAGAGAGAGAGAGAGAGAGAGAGAGAGAGAGAGAGAGAGAGGGAGAGAGAGAATCTTATGTGTCATTATATACGCGCCCTCGATCCCGCCTTTCGAATTACGGGCCGACCATCAAAGTTGAGAGAGATAGATATTGGGGGAGAGAGAGAGAGAGAGAGAGAGAGAGAGAGAGAGAGAGTGGGAGAGAGAGAATCAGATTCTCTTGGATTGAGAGATTCTTCGGCGGAGCTGTCGAAGGGCTCATCGTCGTCTTCCTCATTCCGTCTCTCTTCCTCAAGCTCAAGGTCCGTAATCATGCTCTTCCATTTCTCTGTCTCAATCTCTGTGTTTGTTTGGATTTTCTGGTTGTTTTTTGTGCTTGTTTATTTTCCATTCCGTATTTCGCCTCCCGTCCTGTTTTTTGTATGCCGCATTCTGATGTCGAATAGATTCCGCATCTGTTGTTCATGGATCTGTCACTATTTATGTTCTGTGTTTCTCGATCTAGTCTTTGATCTTCGCCATTGTGTTTCTGGTGGAGAAATCTTATGCAATGTCGATGCAGCCTCTGACGATCCCATTTCGTTAACATCTGGAGATTTTTAATTTCATAAAATCAAAACCGATCGGGAGATTTTAAAAACAAATGTAAGATTCGTTTTAGGGTCCCAAAAACCTGACTGATTCTTGGAAATCACATGAGATTTGCGTTCTCTCGAAGTTGGGGAAATTTTCAGAATTCATTACCTCGAAGATATTTTGTTTGGGTACCTTTTCCTTATTAAAATAATTATATTTATTTATTTTCTTTGAATATATAAATTCAACAAAACACACCAACATCTCTTTTTATATAATTTATGGTTCTCTTTTGCGGCAACCTTTCAGATCTGAGCATGATATTGAAACATTAATTAACCATCTATTGCAGTTTTTTAAAGGAAGAAACTTACTCTTATTGTTGAATTCTCATGTCGGTGGCGCTGAATTTGGCGTAGCTTTGACTGATTCCAAGCCTAAATGCACCAAACCCCCTTTTCATTTCCATGCACTCAAATTGGATTTCGTTTTCTAAAAATAGTCCGATATTTAATCGTTGTTTTAATTAATTATTCTGTAGATCTGCGAGTTTCGTACTTGATTGCTTTGGTACTTGTGGTGACAAATGCCTAAATTTCAATGACCCGTCTTAACTTGTCATCGTAATCATCAAGAAATTAATACCCTTTCGGTAATCGTTCCTATAGAATTCATAGATATATTTAAATAAGGTTTATAAGGCTAATCTGAATCCGGTACATGAATCTGGAGGCAAAAGGGTTGTTGAAAATAAAAGCCAAAAAAAAAACGAAAAGAATCGTGGAAAATAGGCAGACAAGGTTAGCTTTTTTTACTTTTTAATATAATTTTTTAAAGTTGTTTAGTATTTTGCTTTTCTTAACGTTGCCCACTTGCTGTTGAGCAGTGTAATGAATTCGTGATTGTGATGGTTCCTGTAGATCTGTAGAGTTAAAGTTTGCCAAAATTGACCACCACTTGACATAAAACAATTGTGGTCTTGACTTATCATCGTATTTGCCATTGTCATCCCTTGAGGTTATTTTTCTTGGTATCGAATGTAACTCTGCCTGTTGGTTGGTTTATCTAGTTCGGTTTCGCCTTTGGGTGCAGGGACCACCGTCTAGTGAACTGCAACCATTGATTCATTCATGCTTTCTCTTGTGTTTTGTCAAACCTTTTCGTTGGGTTTTCTCCTTCAAGGCTGCTACTTTGTCTTAGCTTTCTTTATTCTGAATGAGAAGTTGAGCCAGTAGTCGGGTTTACTCGTTGTTTACCGTGTTTTCAATGCCCTTTCTAAGGCTTTGCATGCGTATCCTTGAACTTTCATGTCTCAGATCTATGTTTTTGGGTATGTTTTTATTTCATGAATTGTGCTTACAAGTTACAATAATGTATAATGTATGAGAGTGCAAGGTCGTGGAGATTCTGTCCTATTAATACTCGTTGTTGTTGTTGTGCATTCATTCCCTGTTCGGTTCTGATGTTTATTACTTAGAAACTTTCTCTTCCGGTTTGCAGAAAGATGGGTGCTGGTGGTAGAATGCAAGTTCCTCCTTCCTCCAAGAAGTCGGAATCCAATGCCCTGAAACGGGTTCCATGCGCAAAACCGCCCTTCTCTCTTGGAGATCTCAAGAAAGCCATCCCCCCTCACTGTTTCAAGCGCTCTATCCCTCGCTCTTTCTCCTACCTTATCACCGACCTCATCATAATCTATTGCTTCTATTACATTGCCACCAACTACTTCTCTCTCCTCCCTCAACCTCTCTCGTATCTAGCCTGGCCGCTCTACTGGGCCTGTCAGGGCTGTGTAATGACCGGTGTCTGGGTCATAGCCCACGAGTGTGGCCACCACGCTTTCAGCGATTACCAGTGGCTCGACGATACGGTTGGCCTCATCTTCCATTCCCTCCTCCTCGTTCCGTACTTCTCCTGGAAATACAGTCACCGTCGTCACCACTCCAACACGGGTTCCCTTGACAAGGACGAGGTGTTTGTCCCCAAGCAGAAATCCGCCATCAGATGGTATTCCAAGTACCTAAACAACCCTCTTGGCCGTGTCATGACCCTTACCATCCAGCTCGTCCTCGGATGGCCTCTCTACCTGATGTTCAACGTCTCGGGCAGACCGTACGAACGATTCGCGTGCCATTTCGACCCTAACGGCCCGATCTACTCCGACCGAGAACGCCTCCAGATTTACGTCTCAGATGCCGGGATCCTCGCCGTTTGCTATGCCCTTTACCGCATCTCGGCCGCAAAGGGGTTGGCGTGGATGCTCTGCTATTACGGAGTTCCTCTCCTCGTGGTTAACGGGTTCCTCGTCCTGATCACTTACCTTCAGCACACTCACCCGGCCTTGCCTCACTATGACTCGTCCGAGTGGGACTGGTTCAGAGGGGCTCTAGCCACAGTGGACCGGGATTACGGGATCTTGAACAAGGTCTTCCATAACATTACGGACACTCACGTGGCTCACCATCTCTTCTCGACGATGCCGCATTATCACGCGATGGAAGCTACAAAGGCGATAAAGCCGATTCTCGGGGAGTATTACCAGTTCGACGGGATGCCGGTCTATAAGGCGATGTGGAGAGAGGCGAAGGAGTGCATTTACGTTGAGCCCGATGAGAGTGGCGAGAAGAAGGGTGTTTTCTGGTACAACAATAAGCTATGAAGGACAGGTCACGGTGGAAGTGAAGTAACAGAAGAAACAGAGAGTGGTATCTTGTTCCTTCTCCTTAGTTTGTGTCCGAGAAACATTTAAGCAGTTTGGAATAATCTTTTTCTTCTTTTTTTTCGGACTTAGCTAAAAATGTGTCTTCTCGTCGGTAGTGTTTGGCGTCGTCGTTGCTGTCGTTGGAATGTGACTTGTGGGTGTTGTTGTGTAATGGAAAAAAGTTTCAAGCTTTACGATTGAAACTTTAAACATTATAATATATGATATTATATGCTCACAAAATCTTACAAATTTGTGATATGATTAATTACCCCGTACATTTGTCGCAAAAAAAAAATGCTAATAGATATAAAACTATATAATATATTATGCATGGTACGGTTTAACCGACCCAGAGACGATGCACATATAAAAGATACACGTAGATATCATATCACAGCGGCCGTCAAGCTTCTGCTGGTGCATGGGCAACGCAATGATGATGGGAATTCAAACTGAACAAATAGGACCCAAGACTGATTGAAAATTACAAAAAATACTACTTAGATTTAACAATATTTACACAAAATGATCAATGATTTTATAAACTTCCAATGATTAGGCTCTCGGATTAATATTTTTCGCCCTCGTCTTCACCTAATCCACGAAATTGAACAAAAATGCCATTGGAAAAACTTTGGAATGGTGAAAATATGCAAAGACAACAACTTTAGTATATTCAAACTTGGTAAATGACAAGAGTTTAAAAGTGGATTTAATGATAAATAATAATCTCTTATACGATTATAAAAAATATAAAAAAAAAAGCCAAATCCATAAAGATAGCACAACTCTAGGTTCCATTTTCATTGTTTTGATTTGAGGGGAGAAAAATTAAAACAAAACAAGCGATTCCTCTGTCCATTGGCTTACACATAAACAGCGGAAAACACCAAAAGCAAAGGGCACAATATGGAAACCGAAGAAACAGAACGAACAAGAAGAAAAAAAAAATGCATTCTTTTCTTTTTAGGTACATCTCTCTTTCACAATACCTTTTGCCAATTTTGTCTAGAAGCATTTCCTGTGGACGATGGACGGTCCTGATTCGTCGTACTCAGCCTTCGCTATCCACATCTACGGTTCACAATACGCATATATCGTTTAAGACCCTAAAACCCGAAACAACGAGAAGGGCAACAGATTCAACCGAAGATCGAGTAGAAAAACACGGTTACCTGTTGGAATGTGCTGAGGGATGCGAGAATGGATCCACCGATCCAGACACTGTACTTCCTCTCGGGCGGGGCAACGACCTTAATCTTCATGCTGCTGGGAGCCAAAGCAGTGATTTCCTTGCTCATCCTGTCAGCGATACCCGGGAACATGGTGGTACCACCGCTTAGGACAATGTTCCCGTATAGATCCTTCCTGATATCGACGTCACATTTCATGATGGAGTTGTATGTTGTCTCGTGAATACCGGCTGCTTCCATTCCGATGAAGGACGGTTGGAAGAGGACTTCTGGGCATCGGAATCTCTCGGCACCAATCGTGATGACCTGCCCGTCAGGTAGCTCATAGCTCTTCTCGACTGCTGAGCCCGTCTTTGATGTCTCCATTTCTTGCTCGTAGTCGAGAGCTATGTAAGCGAGTTTCTCTTTCATGTCCCTTACGATTTCACGCTCGGCCGTGGTGGTGAAAGAGTAACCACGCTCGGTCAAGATCTTCATGAGGTAATCAGTGAGGTCACGACCTGCTAAGTCCAGACGGAGAATGGCATGCGGAAGTGCATATCCTTCATAGATGGGAACAGTGTGACTCACACCATCTCCAGAGTCCAAGACAATACCTGGAAAAACAATACAAGAGACCAACATGAACATTGTAATCAACTTCACTCCTAGTTCATGAACTTATGTAAGGCCAACATAAATGAACAAAAGTTTCTTTTCAGACATGACAACAGTAACCATCTGCTTCTCTTCAAAATGATTACAGCAAAAGTTTGGTAATGTTTCTGCTCAATCTAAAGTATGGCAGAGAGATGGGCAAGTCCCGTTAAATGTTCAGCGAATCAGCTTCTCCATTAGTTAAACCTATATGTGTAAGTGTAAGATCCAATTTCAAGCTTAATATGCATAGCCAAGGCTTAGATTGTCACAGATGCTTACCAGTTGTACGGCCACTGGCATAGAGGGAAAGGACAGCCTGAATAGCGACGTACATAGCGGGAGTGTTGAAGGTCTCGAACATAATTTGGGTCATTTTCTCACGGTTAGCTTTCGGGTTGAGAGGAGCCTCGGTGAGAAGAACAGGATGTTCTTCTGGCGCAACACGAAGCTCATTGTAGAAAGTGTGATGCCAAATCTTCTCCATGTCGTCCCAGTTGCTAACGATACCGTGCTCAATCGGGTATTTCAATGTCAAGATACCTCTCTTTGACTGAGCCTCGTCACCGACATATGCATCTTTTTGGCCCATACCAACCATCACACCAGTGTGGCGAGGACGACCAACAATGCTGGGGAAAACAGCTCTCGGGGCATCATCTCCAGCGAATCCAGCCTAAAATCCGGACATAATGTTACAAGGATTCTTACTTATCGCAGTCATAAACAACCGGGGAAGAGAAAAACGTGGCAGCATTCGTATCAATGATAAAAGCTCCCACTAGTCGGTGTCCGCATGGTAAACAAATATGAATATATTACCTTGACCATTCCGGTTCCATTGTCGCAGACAAGGGGCTGAATGTCCTCGGCTTCTGCCATTTTCTATCCCTGCAATAAGTTTCGACATATTATTTAAGTAGGAAAATTTTCAGAAACCAAATTGCAGTACCCAAAAAACAGCATAAATGACAACCCAGCAATAAAGAATCAATTTCGACAATAAATTTACTTGCATTGTTCGAAGATCATTCACAGACAACAGCATTTTACAGACAAAGAAACAAGAACATGAACAGTTTCAACCCTCATCTTACAATTTTATCGACGAACAGATCAATCAATCCTCAAATCCCAATGAATGCACTGCATTTATGTTCCTGATTCGACTTTCACTTTGGAACCAAAAATGGAGGAGATCAAATTTCAAAACAAATTCAAGTCTCACAATAGATCTAACAATGTAAGGCGAACATCTACAGCACTCTTGAACAACCATTGCAACGAAGATGCAAATCTGAACGCATGAAACCTAAAGATCTGAGAAGAAATGATACCAGAACGTTTCGAACGAGGACCGGATCGAAACAGAACGACATTATCCACGACAAAATATCAATTCAAACAAAAAGGACAGAAAAATTCATTGAATCAACGAGACCGAGGCAAACTGATTCAATTCAAATCCGCAGAAAGAACATCTAACAACGACCGATCTCGGGGAAGCACACACTCTGGAGAAGAAATGGCGATAGATTGAAAGAAAAAAGAAATCACCTTTTTTTCCTGGAATTCGTGGGAATCTCCGATACCTCTCCGATTACGAGTGAATTCGGAAGGGACGGGAGAAAAAAAAAAAGAACGAAGAAAATAATGTGTGGAGAGCAAATGAACAGAATCTGAACCTCGGAGATGGAACTCAAGAAGAGAAGGATGCCATATTCGATTTTTGGGAAGATCTCAGCCGTCCATGCTGAATCTCTGATCCCTGGACCCCACGACGAGTCACGTTAATGGTGGAAACAGCTGGCTCTGATGTTCAATTCACGAAACTGTCCCCCTCTTAGACTTGGAAAGACGAAATTGACCTTACGCAGTTGGAAATTTAGTTCGGGCTTGAAAGGCCTTAAATCGTGGGCCGGACAATATTGGTGAGAGGTAAAATTATCAGACTAACCGAAAAAACCATCAAGTAATTTATTCGGAAAATTTTGTTATTGAAAATTTATTATAAAGATAAGTCGACTGTAATTTTGAAACCAAAAAAAAAATTTAATTAGATAACTTATTAAAAAATACCTGCTATTTTAAATTTATTACAAAAATCCATTAGATTTTAATTTTACACAAAACCATATTTTTATTTTACTTTAAAAATATATATTCTCTCTTTATATAACTCATTTATATTAAAATGATATACTATATAATATTTTATTTACTAATTTAAAAAAAAATAAAATGCTTAGTTTGAAACGTCTCAAATACTAATATTATAAAATATACTCCCTCCGTTTCAAAATATTTGTAGTTTTAGTTTATTTTCCATGTTTCAAAATATTTGTCATTCTACATTTCCAAGATAGTTTTTTACAATAGTTTCCAATTTTATCCCTCCCAAATTCTAATAAATTATTAGTGATAACATTATTTTTATCATTAAATAAGGTTACATGTGTCTTTTTTCTCTTTTCTTAAAAAATGTGAAAAATCCTAAAACTACAATTAATCTGAAACGGAGGGAGTAGTTAATTTTAAATATACATTGATAGTTTTGAGATTTACAGTATTTTTTTCAACTCTTACTTACATTCTAAAGCAAAATCAAAATAAATTAAGAAAGAGGATAATAATTAACATGGTAAATCAGCTTTTAATATGGTGGGCTCAAACGGAAGATTTTATCATTGACTAATTATTTATTTATTGAGTTTTTCAATCAAATCCAAAATAAATAACTGTCCGATGTCAAATCAGCCATTATGGTCGTTGCGAAAAATAAATCTTTATTTTACCGGCAGACCAAAATTATCATATGAATGTTTTCTGTTAAATGGTTACATAATAATTTCGTATACGTAATTAAGAATTAGATTGCTTTAATTTTAACAGCAATTGATGCGTTGGCTGGAGACGCTATTGGAAACGCAGACGCAGCGACTGCGATTGCGATTTCCTTTAAAAGAAATACCATGGTTTGAAGATTAGGGAATAATTTATTGATTTAAATAAATTGAACAGGAAAAACACATAAAATAGAAATCACTATTTCTGCCATCCCTTACTTCAACCATAATCTTTTATATATATATATATATATATATATTCAAAAATAACTTGGAAAGCAAAATTTTTAAATACGAAAAATCTATTAAAAAAAATGAAAAACGACAAAAGAGGGAAGAGGCAACCAAGCAAAATCCAATCACATCTAATTATGAATTTCCTAACATAGGGACCATGCAAAATTCGCCCGTTAGCTTGTAGTATTAACTCGTTAATTATTGGATATTGTTGTTGTTACCATTATTATCGTCGATATAACAATAATAATTTAATAACAATAGCAATCGTCATAATTGCTGTTATAATTACCATGAGAGATACTCGAGTGGATGCTATCACACTGCTTCTACATTCATCCTTTTTAAAACATCGGATACTTTTGCGATTTTAGACTAGTAAAATAATTAAGTAAAAATATATAGACAAATTTTTATGTCTATGAAATGATATTAAACATTTCGAAAAATAGGAAGAATTTGACTATAATGATGAAAAAATATTTTCAACTATATTAAAAATACCAAATTAGCAGGTTTTATTTTTTATTTAGAAAAATATTAATGTTAATTTTGTGATAATTAAGTATATAAACCTTGATTATATATGCACCTTTTTTTATTATAAATGTATCTTTTCATGGATTAAAAAGATGGATGAATTAAATTCATGAATGTTTTTGTGCGAAATTCCTAATAATTTGATAAAGAATCTTAATCACGATTTAACAATAATAGCAAAAATGTTTGAACAAAGGAGGAACGGCGACAATAGAGAATGAAATTAAGCTTACATTATAAGAAAAGGAACAAATTAAAGAAGAAGATCCAATGTACAAATGATTGTCGGAGTGAAGTTTGTCTGCTTGAGAGAGGGACAAAAGTGGAGCCCACTTGCTTAATTGGCTGTTGACTCTGACAAATTAATTCCCATGATTACTCTCTCACGCTCCGCTCACGTGACTATCTCCCTCCCCTCACGTGCAATTGCTTTCTTGTAATTGCAATTCAAACTTTTAGAATGTTTTTTTTTTAAAGAAAACTTTGATATACATGTCCAAATATTGTGATATTGTACCCAAAATACGTGAGTTGAATTTGATATTACATTTTTAAAAAGCATCATAAAATTATAGGCCAGCCATCTTCAATATATTGGATAAATATTATAATATATAAAACAGATTAAAATAAATAATTTTCATCATATTCTATAAATATTTAGATACATTAGATCCAAATTTTTAATAAAATTACTTATTTAGTAATATTTTGATTCAAATAATTTATGAAAATATATATAAAAAATAAACCATATATATTGTTCGCATTTTAAGGTTTTATCTTATAAAAAGTTATTTTAGTTATTTCTTTAAACAATTAATATTGAAGAATTATTTTTTTTTTTTGTAATGGTTTAAATTTTATTCTAGACAATCAAAATTGATAGCCTAGTCATTTCTAAAAATTGTAGTGATTTTATTATTGTTTTCAAGTTTTATAAATTTACCAAAATAAATATGTTACCTTTCTAGCTAAAGATTTTTTTGGTTAGTTTTAATTAACTAAAAAATAAATTTTAAATTTTTCTGATTTTTTATATTTATTGGTAAATTAACGTTTTAAACACGTATATATAATAAATATTATAAAATTCAATCAAACTTTTAAAAAGTTTAAAAAATTTAGTTCTTTATATATATATATATATGAGTTTATCTATCCGAACTCATTTTCGTTTTTAATTTTTTATCGTATCTAAATTTTATATAATTTTTTTAGTTTGAACCTTGTAAATGAAAATATCATTATCATTTTCTTTCAACAAACGAAAAATATTTGTGTATAAAGATGACTATTATATAATTTTTATAGTTTATATTAGATAAATAAAAATAAAGATCAGAGAAAAGTGGGTTACAGAGAATATAAATTACAAAAAAGAAAAGTAATAAAGAGAGAGAAAGATTGGAGGTCAAAATCCGAAGAGAGAGAGTAAAATGGAATTCAATTATTGCAATGATCCCCAAAGCATTGACAACCTTCTTCCCCCTCGACACATCCTTCTCCCCACGCGCGTGGGTCCACTCTCCCACCCTCCTCCACGTGTCACGCTATCATAAATATAAATTATTCCAAATTAGAAAATTATCATAATACCATTAGAAACGAAAATATAAATCATTTTAACAAGAAAATATATTCTCTAACAAAAATATAATATAAATTATTTTAAGAAAAAATTATTATTATGTATAGTAAATTTTTAAAAAACCCATAGAATATTTGATTTGTAAATTTGAATTCAAATCCGAATTTGATAACCATATAATTTGGATCTATTTTAAAACAAAATAATAAAGAAATTATGAATTTTCTTTTATTAATCATTAAAAACATAGAAAACTATAATTCTCCGATATCTATAACTTTTTCGAATGCAAGTTGACACCAAAAAAAAAATGGACATTTGATAATAATTGTAAAAAAAAAAAAAAACCCTAAACTTATAATAGAGACTGTACTCATGATGTTTGGTAAGAAGGCCATGAATCAGTTTCGCTTGGACCGTCATCATGGCAATGACACACTTTGCGCTTGTAACAGTTTGGTCAAAGTTAAGAAAAATAAGATGAAAATATATAATATATATAAAAATATTAAATGTATATTAGTAGTCATCGTTTTCACATATTGTTCCCATCATCAGCATAATTAATCATGATGTTTTTGTGGGCCCTTTAATTCGGTAAGTGTTACAGCATAATTATTCAAGCATCATTTCCTCCCAATGTAATTAAATATTTTAATCATAGGGTTGAATTGATTCAGTCACGCCGTTTCTCAATTGACACTTGTGGAAATAATTGCTCCTATACGCAATTTCCGGGAATAATTAAAATTTAAAATGTTTCATAACATTAAAAAAAAACATGGTAATTTATATGTAGACTCTCCTTTCCATTTTTTCGATTCGATTATTTAAAAATATATTAGATCTAATCAAAACATTTAAAATAAATTCTATCTAAAAATTAATTAAATATAAATTTTCAATTAATGCAAATCGTTGGAAGTTTATTTAAAATAAATATTCTTTTAATAAAAAACGAATAGAAAACAAACTAAACTATAACTGCATAAAAATACATAATTTTTTTATAAAATAAAGTCAAATATTCAAAACCCATCGTTTCCATTGGCAGTTAATACAATTAACGTGCGACCAAAAATTATCGTTGATCAGTCAAACTTTAGGTCTCCGGTGATTTTCAACCAAATATTACTGGTCGTCATATCGGAATTCTCCATTTTTAAAGAATTCATTGAATACAAAGAATTATACAAATTTCTACTTATTCTACTACTTGGGATTATTTTAATTATTCATAATTACAGTATTTTTTAAATTAAATCTGAGGTCATAGCACATTCAAATCCCGCAAATTAATTAATAGGGTACAGATGTTACAAACTTAGAATTCAAATGGACTAAGAACATTTCCGCTTGGTCTCATGTCATGCAGCATATATAACTTTCAAAACCATTTCGTTCTCACTTTTGTGTTGTTCAATTATATAATATCTAATGGGAGAATTACATATAAAAAAACATTAAACTTGTTAATTTAGATCATATTGACATTTAGATTATAGTATAATACATTTGAATTATAACTGTTATTGTTTCATTTAGCAACTGAATATACTCTTTTATGGGGTTTCCCCTGAAATAATTAGTAGTGCAATTTCATTCCAATTTTTTTCATTATTTTTTTTTCAAAATTGAAGTCTGCACATATGATTTAATTTTCCTAAAATATCGTAGTTTTATCAAAAAAATATAATTTATAGCAACGCGCATAGAGGTACGAACGGGCGCTCGCACACACAAGGAACCGATGCCTCGAATCAAAATCGATCTCGTGTATGAAACGGTGTACGTATATCGGTATCCATAAGCATTCACGTGCGTTTGTCAATCAGTATGAGTCGGTCCATCTTTATATATATATATATATATATATATATATATATCCGTTTCAATTCAACCCCCCCAAAAAAAACATAATTAACTTTATATTTAAAAAAAATACCTCAAACAGTTGCAAGAAAATATAGAGTTGGCATCTCTTCAAGTTTACATTAAAACCACCATCCCACAAGAAATTCCACTGCCCTCTCTCTCTCTCTCTCATTCCTCTTGTTCTTCTTCGTTCTTCGTTCTCTAAGACATGGAACTGGCGTTGTCTCTTGGAGACAGTACAAAAAAACCGTTCCCGTTTCTTGTCAAGCCGTCGACGTCGACGATCAATGCTTCGTCGTCGTCATCTTCTGACAAGGATCTTGGGTTTTGCATGGGCTTAGATGCGGGTTTTGGTCGGAGATCGTCATCTTCGTCGGAGGAGGAGAAAACGACTCCCAAATTTTCTGATAGATTTAGGGTTTCTTCCCCAGATCCGCCATTGAAGCTTGATCTCCGTCCTTTCACTCCGATTCCTCCTTACGACCACCTTCCCTTTCCTTGGCTCCCCGAAAACGGTACGGATCGATTTTTTTTGGGCGTGTTTTTGGAATAACGAGGTTTAATCTCCGGCCCTGAACTATGTAAACCTAGGAATTTATCATCTTGCTTTCCGAGAAAGAAGGTGAAAAACGAAACGGAAAATTTCTTACCCTTTTCTTAATCTATTTTTAGGGTTTTCTGGATCGCTAATTGATTCTAAGGAATTTGAAGTATTTTTTAAGAAAGTTTTACGAAATCTTTTCCATTTGCTTTTTGAACATTTGACTCTTTACCAAGGCTGCACCAAGAAAACCGAATGGTTTTGATCACATTCACACGTAAAAAAGTCGGAGTCTTGAAAATACTGCAAGTGAAACCGATGGAACTTTTTCTCAGGCGGACAGTACAGAGGAAGAAGACAAGACACAAACAGGCTCTCCACGACAGCGGCGGCGGGGGAAGAGGAGGCGGTGCCTTCGCCGCCGCATAGCGTGACCTCATCGATCCGTTTGGATTTCGGGATCATGGGCCACGGCAAAAGGGATGAGATGGAGAGATCGGCTTCGAGAGCGAGTGACGACGAGGAAAACGGGTCGGCTCGGAAGAAGTTAAGGTTGTCTAAAGAACAGTCTGCTTTTCTTGAGGAGAGCTTCAAAGAACACAATACCCTTAATCCCGTGAGTTGATCTTTCTTCTCTATATGTGAATTTGTAGATTGTATCGTATACGTATGCTATACGTACATGCAAAAGCGCGTATGATATACGCATGTTGGTGTATGGTTGCTTATACCTCGGTCAAAGATAGAAAGAAGAAGTAAAGGGAAACTAACACTAATGGCATTGAAACCTTTTGTGAAATGCCCAAAATTGGGTTATAATCGAACAGAACATATCTGAACCCCTTGACCGGTTGATATTTTCCACGTGTTGATCAAATGTCATTTTTGTTTTATGTTTTCAACATATATATATATATATATATATATATATATACATACGTTATTAAGCATCTTGTTTTGTAATGTATATTCATAAAAAAAAAACATTGCAGAAGCAGAAGCTTGCTTTGGCAAAGCAGTTGAATCTTCGTCCTCGCCAAGTTGAAGTCTGGTTTCAGAACAGAAGAGCCAGGTTAGATACATTCATATACATACATATATATATAGTTATATACACGTTATTTCACAAAAGTCAAAAGACAAACCGTACTTTCACATCTTTTCCACATAAAGAGAATGATATGCCCCAAGTTTGTTGTCCTTTTCTATCGTGCGTCTATGAAGCTATATATATACATATATATACTTGTTTATTTCTAATGAGTGTGTGTGTATATATATGTATGTATATGCGTATAGGACGAAGTTGAAGCAAACGGAGGTGGATTGCGAATACCTAAAAAGATGTTGTGAGACACTAACCGAAGAAAACCGGAGACTACAAAAGGAACTCCAAGAACTGAGAGCCTTGAAGACTTCGAGACCTTTCTACATGCAGCTTCCCGCCACCACGCTCACCATGTGCCCTTCTTGCGAGCGCGTGGCCACCACCGCTCCGCCGCCGTCCACCGTCTCCGGGAAAAACTCCGGCATTGCCACGTCATCATGCCCGGCTAAGGCCCACGCCGACTGATGATGAGAGCCTTGAACGACGACGTTAATAGAGTGTGATTTGTGAAGTGAGTGAGTGAGTGATACTGTTAGAAATCAATTTAAAGAAAGAGGTATATATTCGTGAGTATATTTATTTTTTATTTATTGAAGGGAGAATTGGGATCTCTCCAGATATTCCCGTCTTGTTAATTAGGGTTTAATCCGGTTATTAGCCGGTTCTCCTTGTTGGATAATTGGACCGGCCGGTCAAAACAAAGTTTGGGGGAGAGTTGGAGAAATGAGTGTTAGCCATTTTTTCAGCCCACTCATGGTGCTGATGATGAAAGGAGAAAAAGAAGAAAAAGAAATTCCAGCTTTTAATGTTTTTATGGCTACAAAAAAGAAAATCTACCAAAACAATGAGATACCATAAATCTGTAATTCTCTATTGATTGAAATTTTCTTATTACTCAATTTTATTATTCTTTTAATAATAATTTATTTTTAAATAACATGTGTACAATATATTTTTTTCTCAAAATAGGAAAACTTTAATTCAATATTATGCACATAATATGTAAGTGAATTTGTACAGTTATACATGGCCTTAGTAATTAGTCAAACAACAATAACCATTTTACTTGGGATTTACTCTTCCTCTCGTCTCGGACAGTGTGTGCTTCAGACATTTTCGGTTTTCTTCCACATGCAACCCAGAGGTGGGAAAAAAACCCAGAATTTCGGCCACCTCTATATATATATATATAACTATTTATGTGTGTGTGTATATATATATAAAAAGTTACATACAACAGATTGGTGTTGTATTATTTGAGAGGAAAAAACGTTATTTATTTTTAATAAATTTTATTGTAATTATTATTATTTGAAAGAAGGCAAACATCCATGTGACATCTTGACATCGCAACCGACCGAAGAAGCCCCATAAATATTTATATAATTATTTGTGCTTTTCCGGATTTTAAAAGTAAAAATTCCAACAGAATTATATTGTCGGGTATCCATAAATCCAATGCTCATAATATATGATGTCGAAATAACCAAGTTATTACTCTTCCGCAACTTTTTTTTATTTTATTTATTTATAAAAAAAGCGTTTACAAGTTTAGTAACTTTTTTTTTTAAATTTTACCATACATTTCAATGACAACGAAATCGGGAATCTGTAAATCTCTATTTCTTTCTTTTTCCTCTATATAATATAATATAATAATAATAATATGATCACAGCCGTTCCACGTCCGCAAACGCGATAATTTTGCGTTTGCGATTGACCACGATCTGTGTTTTTGGAGAATTGCTGTGATAGCTCCGTATCCAATCAAGAACAAAAATGTGGATTGATACAAGCCCCAAAAAATTCATACCCTTCAAGGTTTTCTTCGTGTATTTTCGAGTTTGTCGAGTTTTACGAGCAATTCGGCGTAGAGGATCTCGTTCCACGAGTCGGGGACTCCCGGGAGGCACCAGTGGCTGCAGTCTTGGTACCTCAACGGCGATCTCCGCTCTTCTTCCGACAGTTTTTGCTTCCGGTAGATCGACGGGTGACCGTCCTTCCTATAATCCGACATTCTCGTGATGTTCAGATACGTTACCGACGTTTTCATACCCTTCAGAACTCTCTCGAGGACCTGCATTTTCGGCGGGTATGGCGTTAAGTACGTCTGGTTCTTGATCGGTTCCGTCTCGCTATCGCACGCCCCTCCCGAATTCCATTGTCCGCCGCTGAAAATGAACGAACCCCGGCCTCGGATTTTAGGACGGGTTTCAATGATACAAATGGAGAAAGCGGATAGGTTTTGTTTCACCTGAAATGTGATGCAGAGTAACCGCGGAAGAAGACGAGCGACTTGTTCGGATTCACGTTCTTATCGACCCATCGGGACCATGTCGTTAAGGCTTTCCGGAAAGCTTCCAAGACGTTGAGTTCGTCGTAAACATGACTGCCCTCTTGATAATAGTCCTCCCTACCAGACAATGACAAAGCTACATGAGTGAGTTCCAATCTTTCAGTTTTTATATGGCATTCAATTCGATTATGGTTACGTGTTATTCGATTCGGATCGGTTCGGTTTATACGTAACTGAACCGAGCGCACAAAAGCGACCACGGCCTGAGGCATGGGATTGAGAGATTACCCTTTTGACGTTTTCTCGTGAGTCCACCAGTGTCCGGTGTTAAAGACGATGATATCCGCTCCTTTGTATTGGTCGGAAGATCTCCCGACCAAATCCAGCCGTAGAGTCTCCTTCTTCGTCCCGTTCTTGTCCACGACCTCCCATTCTTGGACCAAGAATGGCGAAACATAGAACTCGACCGTGCAGTTGTAGTCCTGTACACGAATCAAAACCAAATCCCGAAATCAAAACCCGAAAACCGATCGATGATGATTCCGTATAAAGACTCGGACGCCTACTCTGAACACGAATGAGTAGTCGGCTTCTCCCCGGAAATGATGCCTTCCATTGGCCTCAAAGACATTGCTCTGATCTTTCACTGATCCTCTAAGGATGCAAACCAGAGATTCCCACATGTTCCGATTCAACGAATCGCCGACGAACACGAGCCTTCTCCCTCTGATCATCTCTAGCAAATGAGATCCATTTAACCTGATCATACACACACAGAGACAGAGATTCAGATCCGCAAAACCATGTAATGATCACACAGAACTGGAGAGAACTTTCATGGAAAAGTTCAAAGCAGATGTGTTTGTAATGCAAGGAAACTGTAAAGAAACGATCCGGTTACGCACCTTGGCAAATCACATTTCTTAGGCTTCCACCTCAGTTTCTGAAAATCCTTGTCGGGTCTTCCGTTGAGGATGCAATTGAACTGTTCGTCGATCAAATTACATGAACCGGGTTTGTAGAGTGGATAAGACTCGTCTTTTACCCACTCTCCATCAAAGAAATCGCAATTCTTCAGAGAATCCTTCCATCTAACGATCTCTTCTTTCACCAACGAGCCCGAATCACTGCTCTTATTGCTCTGTTTCTCCGGCGGAGCAGCCGTCACGGCTGATTTCGGCGGCGGAACTGCTGTCTGGTTTGTCTTGGAAGCTTGTTCTTTGCCCGAATTCGGAGCAATAACCGTCCCGTTCTTCGGATTGGACGGTGTTTCCCTTGTTTGATCACTCCATGAATGATTACTCGATCCGTTCAGCGATTTATCGGTGCTGTTTTTAGCAACTGGGTTTGTCTGGTTTGTGGCCAGGGATCCAAAGGTTGAATTTTTAGCAACTGGGCCAAGGTTGTCTGTGTCGGGTGATTGCAATGTCTCGTTCTTAGGAACAGAGCCGGCGAAACTAGAGGTGGTAGACGAGAAATTGCCGTTTTTAGCAATAGGGTCTGAGAAATTCGATCCGGGTCTTGAAGAAATCGCACCACTGGATCGATTACTTGGCTGCGACCAAGTAGCATTAGGGAACGCGTAAGAGAAAATCGAGGAGAATTGAGATCTGTATCTGCCGGCGGCGGAAGAACCACCGCCATCTCCGCCGTGTGGGTCGCCGGAGGAGAAGATGTTAGCGAACCATGGAGAAGAAGTGTTCCGAGACGGGCTGAAAGCTAAGAAAACGGTGAAGGCGACAAAGGCGAGGACGGAGACGTAGGCGAAAGCTGAGGCCTTTCTGGGTTTGACGGCAGCGAGGAGGCTCTTTATGTCGGCGGAGGAGGCGGTGGTTGCTCCTCCGCCGCCGTGGACGGGCATGTACTTGACGGAATCCGACGCCATTCACGACGACGGAGATTTCTGTGAGGGAGTTTTTGTGTGGCGCGGAGGATTCTCTCTCTCTCTCTAGAAGTAGATGTAACTGCGAACTTGGTGTGTGTGAGTGTTTTAGAGAGCGAAGGAATATTTCTAGAGAGAGAAAACAGTCGTCGTCTAACGACATCGCGAGACTCTTTAGAGACAAGTCTTAGATAAAGTGACATCGTCAGGGTTTATAACTCACCCTTCGTTTTCTACTAAATTACGTTAATGCCACTGGGAGTATTTGTCGGCGGGAATGTAGAAAGCTGTTTCCTTTTATATTTTGAATAAAAAACGGAAGAGTTCCCTTTCCTTCGTTGAGAAGGGTCCACTACTAAACAGAGCTCCTAATTAATTAATTAATACTTAATTGTTATTTCTATGATTTATTAAAATTTTCAGATATTTTTTTAATAACGGGGAGGTTCACCTGGACCTTAGATCCAATTTATATACCATGGATCCGGAAGCAGCCTTTCAAATGCACATAACCACCCTTCACCCCCTATCCCATGGCTCGAATATGAGACGGATAGGCATCCGTACTACCCTCTCAGACAAGTTACACCACTTCGGCGACGACTTCATGGAAGAGATCGGTCAACCAGAGGTGATTTTTATGGGTTTGACGGCGGCGAGGAGGCTCCTCGCCGACATAAAGACGAAAGTTTTAGCTTAATGACGTGCAATGTTTGTAATACTTGGGGAAATTCCCCTCCGAATTTTATGGTCTGATCGTAACGATTGGGAGCTTATAAAAAATAGCTAAATATGGCCAAAATATATACATATATATATATGAAGTAGAATGTGTACCTAAGAGGCAAATTTATCAAGTATAAAGAACAGTAATGCAATACATATAAGATTGTTTATATACTGTCACAATACAACTTTTTGGGTGTATATATATATACACACCCAAGAAACAAAGGATTATTCGGGAGGATTGCATGTTCCAAATCACGAAACAGATCAAAAGAGTGAAAAACTATGCATAGAGCAAAAGACCATTTCTCTCCAAAATTTCTCGCCCAACCAAACAGGGACGTCCATGTCTGTTTGTGTGTACGTTGTCTTTAACTATGCCCCCTACAGCAGAGAAGATCGTTCCATCTCCTAAGTTCACCGAAACTCGGAAATCTCGTAGACGCGAGCAGTGCAGTCGAGGGCAGCCGAAACGAGGAAATCCGCACCAGAGGTGGTGGAGATGGACTGGACGGCCTCGTGGTGGCCATGGAAGGTTTTGACGCAGTTTCCTGCAAGGCTGTCCCACACGCGTACTGTCCCGTCCGTGCAGCCCGTGGCTATGTACTTTGATGTTCCGATCCATGCCAGACATGCCACCCCTTCCTGCAAAATTTCACATTTCCTTTGCTTAGAGTTTTAACTTTAATCTCTCTTTGCGTGTGAAGAGAATTAGAGAAATGATTATGCATAATACCTCATGCTCGCAGATGAATCTGGGAGTGGAGTGCTGGAGATCCCATATTACGAGTTTCTTGTCCATTCCCCCGGTCGCAGCCATAGGGACAGTGGCCGACCTACAGCGATGTTACAAGTACTGACCATTTATAGTTACGTGTATGTGCCGCTGTATGTGCTTTTATGCATATACGTATATACAGTAAAGGGTCAAAGTGGCGAAGCTTACTACCCTGGTGAAAACTTCACACATTCAACCGAATCCGTATGAGAAGACAGGGAGCTCACCACCTGTTGGTTCGTTTATTTCATAAGAAAGTTAAATGAGTCAGTGGGATGACGGTTGAGATAGAAACCACACAGAGACATATTTCGGAGACGGAAAAGAATTGGCATGACTGTTCCAACGTAGACAGTCGTGCTTGATGAATCTCGAGATTTCGTCTTATGTTAACACGAGTCTAACCAATGAGGAGGTCTGAAATGGCCAAAGCTGAAGACAAGAGTTTAGTAAGTCTGGACAGAAGAACGAACCTTCCCAGTAACCACGTTTACAATGTGAACAGAACCGTCTTTCGAGCCACTGAGAACAAGCGTTGAGTTCGAGTTTATATCCAAGCACGTTATCCCTTCCGTATGATACGGATGACCTGAACAAATGAAATCAGAGTTTCAAGTTTAGAGAAATCACACCTTTTGTATCCTACTTCTCCTGTGAACAAAGAAAATTTGAGAGAGAGAGAGAGATGGAAATTAGCTTACCTTTCACCACGTGTATACTTTCACAAGTCTTAGGGTTCCATATTATCAAACTTGCATCATCGGAACCAGTACACACTAGTTTACCTACAACACCCAAGAAGGCGGGGGCGGTTGGAAGACTCAAAACGGTTGCAAACGCCATAGAAGGGATTAATCGGTTAGGAAGAAATAGTATGAGTACCGTCAGGAGTGAAGTCACCGCAAGTGACACTTTGATTGTGACCGGAAAACATGTTAAGATAGGCACCTCTATCAGCATTCCACATCCACGTTGAACAATCTTCCGACCCAGCCAAGATGACGTGTCCTCTCGGATGCCACCTGACCCACTAAAAACATTCACCGTTGTAAATGTAAATATCTTTCATAGTTTCCGGCGTTCATTTTCAAGTATATCAGCAGGTATTCAGAGATTTTACTTCGATTCCACTGCCGGGACCATCAAGAACGCATTTCAAATTCCCCGACGATGCATCGCATATGTGAACGACACCATCAAGTCCTCCACAAGCAAGTAGCTGCCCATCGTAGCTAAAAGCTAAACAAGACACAGAGTCCTTATGGCCTGCAAGTGCAGAGGAATTATAAGTAACATACAACTGTAAAGACCAACAGACAGGACCAAAGAATGGGCGAGTAAAGTTTTCAATAAGGATTCTTTCTTGCAGTTATGAAAACAATGGTTGATGGAAGAAATCAAAACATGAAACAGAAGTCAACTGAGTTCCTGCCTGGAAGCTCAGCAGCCCAATCTCCATGGCCAATCCTCCATAGAAAGCCTTTGTCGTCACCACCTCCAGTTGCGACCAGTCTTGGGTCTGTCGGGCTACATGCCACCGTATAAAGCTCACCTGTAAACATTCTTTTAACACATCAAAGCCAATATCTGTAGCTGGTGGATTTTCTACAAAGCAATCAAACGAAAGGAAAGCTTACCGGTGTGACCGGTGAATGTGTGTATAGAATCATCGTTTTCATCTGCAAATATCGGATACACGAGGAGATAACCATATGCATAAAAGTTAAGGATCCTGGTGATAATCGTGGAGGGTAATTGGATAGGAGAAAATTGATATACCAAATTCTTCGTCATCATAATCGGCGTCTGGGAGATCTGCAGGCAGGAGAAGAGAGTAAGAACGCTGTGACAGAAGAACAGAGAGGAGGAGAGAAAAAAGAAAGGAAAGACCTTCGTCGTCGACATCGACTTCGTGGATGATGTCGGACTCATCAAGAAAAACCTCGCCTTGATCATCTTCCTCCACCGACTGATCAGCCATCTTCTTCCGATTGGAGGAGGGCGTGGGGGTCTCTGTCTAGGGTTTTGGATTGTCCCGGGCCGGGTTTTGTAAAGCTAAATCAGTCAGATATACCAAACCTGTCCCAATAATTTTTTTATCCGATACACCCAAAAAAAAATAAATATAACCCATTAAATTTTCTTCGAAAATATCATATTACTCTTAATAAAACCGTATAATTATAATTGTAACGTTGTAATTGATTCTAAATACAATTACAATTGATTTCAAATATAGTTGTAATTGATTCTAAATGAAGTGACAAAAAATATATCTAATTGTTTACAAGATCTTAGTTGTTATACGATCGTATGTTAGTTATATAACCGTCGTAATAAAATCGTAAAAAATACGAAGTAATAAAATCGTAAAAAATACGAAGGAAATGTTATTTCGAACTTTTTATCCACAAATGGTATAAAATTGAAAAAAAAAATTATTTTTTTTTTGTGTATCGCTGAAATTGTTGCGATATAGGTATAGATATATTTGAGTGATTTTCCCTTTTGTAAGCTCGTGACCAACTATATCGGATCAATTCGGTAATAACCAAATGGTAATTAAAGTAATTAAAATATTCAAATTTCAAAAGATAATATTAAAATTTTAAAGAAAGCTAACAAACAGTCGCTTTGGCCGAGTGGTTAAGGCGTGTGCCTGCTAAGTACATGGGGTTTCCCCGCGAGAGTTCGAATCTCTCAGGCGACGATAATTTTTCTTTTCTCTTTCTTTTTAAGAAAAATTTCATACGGATTTTTCATTTCGAATCTCTCTAGCGATAACGAAAACACAGGAGGATATAGTATACCCACAACTGAAATGAAAACTTTTGTTTGGAAGTGGGGATTTTGAATTTTACATATCCAGATACAGAAAAACGAGAAAAACACTCGAATAACCCTAAACCTTAAAAAGAGCATTTGTCTGTCTGGATTCTTAAAAAGAGCAAGTAACAAGTCCAAGCAGATATGCAAACAAGACAGCACCGTAAACGTAAACCTTACGCCATTTGCAGAACGAGATTAGGGTCTATGGGAAATGCACAGACGGTAAGAAACCGACAGCGTACATTTGAATTGTCTTTTTGTATGCAGTCTTGTGATGAACTAAAAGAACAGGTAACCCCTCAAGGAGATGATAATAATAATATTCACTCCGTCTGAATGGAAGTTCCTTTTCCTTGAGCTTCGGAGCCGGAAAAAAATCATATTCCAAACCCGAAAACCGCACGAATCCTATGGAAAATTAGATCCCTCCATCCTCTCTCGGTATTTTTCGCCACGGTCGCATTCCCGTATCTGCGTCAAGCAATCACCAAATGAATGCAAGCAACATGTTTTGCTCTCATAGGATGAGGAAGCACACAGAAAATGGATTAAGCTTATCCCTTTCGATCGAATTTGGAAGCTTAACTACAGAATTTAAGACCCTTTTCGTTCTAAATCAACAACACGGCCAAAAGGATGGGATTGAACTCGTGTACAGCTGTGAACTGTTCCAGCAGGAAAACATATTCAAGAACATGAAACATTTCGCCTATAATTCTGTTTACCTCAAAGGATGAAGCTAAAGGGATTAAGGGTACTAGATTTTTTCAGTTTCCTAACTTCTAACAAAGCATCACGCATGAAAGGTTATGCATTCACTAACACTAACCTGTCCTCTTCAGGGATATCGGTGTGAGTTAGCTTAACAACGGTGACCCCTGGTTCAGGCTCCTCGAAAGCCAGCTTCACCTGAAACATCAACAGTGGCAAATGCATTAACAATCGCACCAGTAAACAATTTCCACAATCGGTAGAAGAAACCCATTTCTCACCGTGGAATCAAGACCATCGGGCCAGCTTCCGAACCGCCATTTCTGAACTATGAGTTTGCCTTCTTCAAGCTCCAAATTCGTGCCAGTGACCGATCCGTCGAAGACACTGATCTGCCCACCAACTTCTCTGCTGATCTTGGCATTGCTCTGAGTGAAACCCTTCCACCGATTCTCATCCATGAGAATCTCGTATATATCCTTAGCTCTGCAATTGAATTTCTCAGTCAAAGTAATCGTCTTGAACCCCTTCTTATCTTCCTTCTTCTTCTTCTTCTTCTTCTCCTCCGCCGCCGCAGCTGTAACCACCGGAGAAGCTCCACCCTCCTGCTTCGCCGCCGCAGCTGCAGATTTCGGAGCCACCTTCTTCGCCTCTAGTTCGTCCTTGCACGGACCCCCTTTCGCCATGGCCTCAACATAAACCCTAACTTTCTCAAGAATCAAGGGCTTCCCCTTCGCCACCATCGCCTCCTTCAACGTCTTCCCGATCGGCCCTTCGTCCTTAACCGAGAACCTGATCTCCGGGTCCTCTCCGGCGTTCTCGTCGGCGATGTACGGCATCTCAACCAGCCCTTCGGCCTTCAATAGCGTCTTCCCTTCAGAATCCTTCGCCTCGCCTTCCCAGGACGCCGAGACGCTGAGCTCGTACCCAGGAATGATCTTCCCCTTCCGCACATTGACGTAGGCCTCTCCGTCGACCTTCTCGATCCGCTTGATGTTGAGGAAGAGGTTGCCTTCTCCGGCGAGGACGACGGCGCCGGAGAGATGCTTGTTGAAGAAGCTCCGGGACCATTCGAGACAGTTCGTCTCTGCCCAGTGCCAGTTATGGACGTTGGTCCCGTCGGGTCTGTCCTCCACGATCCATCGCTTGTCGCCTTCGCCGTACTTCGCCATTACGTAAATCGCGAATCTTCTTCTAGGTTTCGAAGAAGATAAATGGAAGCAGAAGAATTCGATTCGAATCGCTGAGATTCGGCTGAAGAAGAAGAAGATAATAGACGAAAACGAAGGATCTAGAGAAGTTCTGGGGGTTTTAACCCTAATAACCCACGTGGGTCGCAGCAATTTCAGGGTACACCACCGAAAAAAAAATTTTGCGACCTTATCACGACTAATATATAACTAATATACAACTAAAATAAGAATAGTTTATTAGTCGTAATAAATTATATATTAGTTATATATTAGTCGTAATAAGGTCGCAAATTTTTTTTTTTTTCGGTGGTGTACACTGAAATTGGTGCGACCCAAGTGGGTTATTTGAGTAATATTCCCAAGTTCTGGGAAATGAGAAAAAAGAAAAAGGGTAATTAATTAATTATTAATTAATTGAGGAGGCAATGAAGAAGTGTCTAGAAACTGGGGTTTCCCAATCTCCAATTTTAATTAAATGGAGTAAATATTACAAATTAGAAATTTAGAATGATATATTTTAACGTAGTAATAAGGGGAAAACGAATATTTTATTGGAAACAAGAAAAGGCGCCGGAAAACGGATCAAGATGGGCCTTTTTTTTTATAGATTTTATGGGCTTTTTTTTGTATTCTTTACCTGTAAATGTATTTCAAAAATATTTGAGACAGTTGTCTTCTACAATTTCAGAGCCGAAATATTAACGATATTCGAAAAATTATATTCTTTGGACGCTTTAATTTTATTATTATTATATATATAAACATACATATATATATATTCCAGATCCAAAATCCAAGAAATCTCGTTTTTAAAGATTAAATCTAAAATACTAAAACTAATTCATCTGCAATTAAACAAAAAATAGTTTTGAAAACCATTCAAAGGAACTATTCTGATATGAATACAATATACATACTGTTTTATTAATTTAAATTTTGGAAAATATATTTTTGTAAAAGAGATTTCTTAATAAAAAAAACTATTTTTTAATTTCTCAAGATATTTAATGTGTAAAAGTTTCAAGAGGTTTAGAATTTACAAAACAGACAAAAAAAAACAATGTGGAAAATCCGTTTGGGTTTTCGGACACTAGAACAAATGAAAGAGTGATGCAGTTTAAGTTTAGAGGGAGAGAGAATTGTTACATCATATGAGCATTTAACATGTTAAAGAGAAACGTACGAACTGGTCCTATTGGCAATAAAAGTGGCGTGGAGAAGAGTACTCTTTTTCAAACTCTTATTTTAATCATTCGTCAGTCCATTTATTTAAATGCCGACCTCCTCTCTCTCTCTCTCTATATATATATATATATATATATGTATACACATGTTTTTGGTTTTACCAAAAATCATTTTGACATTAACTTCCAAAAAGGGTGTCCAGTTCCTTTGCACTTGAATAATTTACCCCTTCAGTTCTGTTGTAAAGAGTATCTATATATACACACCAGAAGGTTGTTGTCATTACACAACATAGCATCAATGGGAAGTATTATATATATATATATATAGTATTATATTCGAACAGAGTCATGAAGGAGTATATTACAGACTAAGAGTTTTTGGTTTAGTAGAATGAAAACCGAGTATATGCATTGTGATTTTAGTGAGAGATATTCTAGTGATGTAGGAGTTAGTTTGCAATGAGGATCAGTTTCTTAAAACCCACATTTTAAATATCTCGGGTTACTCATTCAAAAGAATAGAGGTTACGATGAAGATGTTAATCATATGATAAAAGGAAATATGGATGAAATAGAGATAAGCCACGAGATTCTTTGCGATCGTAAAGTTCTTTTACGATTGAAAGAAAAATTCTACCGAACCGCCATAAGACCCACATTGATGTATGGTAGCAAATGTTGGGCAGCGAAAGAACATATGTCTAAAATGAGTGTGACCGAGATGGATATATTAAAATGGATGTGCGAACACATAATGGCGGATATAATTAGGAATAAGACTATTAAAGAGAAAATAGGAATAATATGTATAGAAGTGAAATTAAGTAATACACATTTAAAATCGTTTGAACATGTACAACATATGCCGATAGATGCGCTGGTGAGAAAAGTTGACAATATAGAAATATGGGTTAAGAGAAAATGAATGGGTAGACCTAAACTTTATTGGAAACGTGTAATTAGTAATGATTTGGAATTGTTGCAAATTTCGAAAGAATTAATGCAAAACCGAAATGAGTGAAAACGAAGAATTCATGTGACCGATCCCAAATAAAACTTGGGACTAAGGCGATGTTGATGTATCTTTATATGTGTATCTCTGTAATAAGAAAAAGATGTGTTTGTAGATAATATGTTTCGGTAGTTGAGATTCAAGAAATATCGAATTATATGTGTGAAGATAAAATTTTAGGATGTAAGTTTATAGATGGCCATTTATATCGGATAAATCTGGAAATTCCATATGAGTGTAGGTTTTGGAATTGTTATCGACTTAATTCTAAGAAAAAAAATTAAATGAAATTCGGTTCCATCGATTTTCGGATAATATGAAAAAATAATGTGTATAGTAAATTTATAAATTAAAATAAAACACATATGATCAAAACAAACCAACAATCAAGAAATCTAACCAACATGATACTAGCTTAACAAAATTTCGGTCCAAAAAAATTATTAATTTATTATTTTCCGATTAGGTTTGGACCGTGGGTTTTTGTATTAACAAACGTGTCGGACCAAATTTAATAACAAACATGGAAGAAAACATTTAAATAACAGTCCGAACACGGAACACCACCCTACTTTCATGTTTATCAACAGTACATGGAATCTAGGGGTTTATTCATTGGCCACGTTTGTAGGGACATAAGTTTGAGCCGATGAAAAAATGTGCATTGACACGTCACTTTTCTCGGGAATATACACATTTTTCTTAGGAATATATATATAAACGTGGGCCCCGTTATTTAGCACAATCAAATATTTTATACAGAATTAAAAACAACAATAATCTCCAATAAATTTTATTTGTAATTATTTTTAAAATTATATTAATATGTACGCAAAAGAAGCTTTTTTTTAGATTTTTCATCATATATATATATCATATAGCCACCATTAATTGTCTTTTCTCGGACACAAAATATTGTAAGGATCTAAATCTGATCACCTAAAGATTAAGGTGAGAGTTTCCCATAGTCAGTTTGATTTGTTTTCTATTTCTTAGATGATTTTCCTAATTTTATTTTAATTCTATTTATTTTTGTTAGAAGCGTTATAATTTTGGATAAATTGAAGGCTTGTTAGTTGGTACATTTCGAAAAAAAAAATCAACTCTGATATTTTTAGATTCCAATTCAATCTAACTTTTTTTTTTTATGTTTCGAAGGTTTTACTCATTTGTTTTTTCATGTAAAAAATTCATTTAGTTTTGATTTAATTCGATTCGATTAAACTTTTCATTAAAAAGTTCATTTTTAAAAACGTTTTTTAATTATTTGTTCATAGACAAGTAATATTCAACTAGTTTGACTTTAATAATAATACCTAATTATTTTATTATAAATCTGATTTAAATCTATTAATTATTATTCCATTCGTTTTATATTAATTTTACTTACTCAAACCTAAACGGAAATGGTCATGATCAATATTCACGATTTTTTTCGTATGTGGTTTACCTATTTCACGTTATTAGTATGCTATTACGTGGAGTCGAAGGGTTTATCTACACATCCCAAAAGGTTGTGGCTGAATTTCTGCCGTAAAAAAACATAACTGAACCGGAAGAACAACCGACGAGACAACTCAAAGCCGCCGAGTCAAAGGCCAAGAAAGTGGGAACTAACTTTCAACGCTACGGGCATATATTTTAGTTTATCAGTTTTAAAACCTCTTTATAGGAATGGAACCTTATACATATGAAGCCTGTAGGGGTCGGTCCAAGGGAAACAAAGGTGGCAAATTTAAGGCCATTTGTTGGCCAAATAAATTCAAATATATATATATATATATATATAATATGGAATATTGTAATAATTTACCCAGATGTCGCCTTTTTATTTGTTGTGTGTCGGCAACTGAAATTTGTTTGCGATCTATAGATATTGCATACATCATAATTCAAACAGATATAACTTTGCCTTGTCCCTATATAGCTTACAGAGCAAAACAACTAAACATATATATACATGTATACATGTGTATATATATATATATAGGTTAGATCCAATGGTGATGAATAATCCATGGGACCCCTTACAGATTTGTTTCAGATTTGGAAATTAATGATACTGATTTGGACATCACGAGACGGTCCAAGAGAAAATACAAAAGCAGAAGATGAAGAAAGAGAATATTACCCAAAAAATAAAAAGAAGAGGTAGCGATTCATTCACAGTTTCACACACACACACGCACATCCGTATACATATACATATATATATACATGCATAAACACATATATACACACATATATATACTTATTCACGCACATAGATATATCATACATGTATGTGTACATATAGACATATATACGCATACGTAGACACACAAGTTTGTATATAGTTATTTTGAAGTTTATGCAATTATATGTATTTTTTTGAATTGAGTATAAAAATAATTGAAGAATATAATGAATATTTTTAATGAAACAGTATTTAAATGTATTAGAAAATCAATATATACTTTTTTATATAAAAAAAAAACAGTGAATCCGAGATGTCCACCCATACCCGTACTATGTACTATATGCATCAACCACCTAATCTAATCAAATGGTTCGTGGGTTCCTCCATCTAACACTGGAGAAACATGCTTAGGCATTTTTTTACAGTGACTCGTGTCGGCAATTAATTACCGAGGTGATGTTCTTGTTTTGTTAATGAAAATGTGAAAGTAACCGAGGTGAAGTTTTGGAATTCTACAAGGAAAAAAAAATATTTTTTTTGCTATCTACCACAGTCAGAGTATTTTCGTTGTATACAAGAGGGGGAGTCTGAAGAACGATGCTATAATATTTGTTTTACTAATTGTGAAATATATCCTTGGATAAAATGATAATATTTGGTTTTATAACGTTATAAGATTTTGATTTAAAATAATAAAAAATCATGTTGTTTATTAGTTTGGTAACAGAGATAAAACGATTGAAAAATGCTAAATTTTTATTTCTTTAGATTAAATCAAACTAAATATGAATTGATATCTGATTAATTAATTGGACTGATTTTTAATCAAACGCAGCCTACTATCGTTGTATGATAAGAGTTACGTTTTCGCATGTTCACTGTAAAAAAAAATTACTTTAAAGACAACGATCATTAGTAACAAAATTTGTTTGTTATAGCAATAAAATGGTTTTTTATTGCGTTGCTAATACTTTTTTTTTTGGTTATTTGTTACACCATCACCCACCAAATACATTTCTCTCTTCTTCTTCTATTTTTCAATAAATAATAAAATTCAAAGGAAATTCAAACCCAATAAAACGAATGTAAAGAACTTCAGTTCATGTTAATTGGCGAATTGGAAAATAAGAATATCTCGATCTAAAAGCTATATGGATATTTTCCATGATTTATGGCTCCGACACATTCTCTAAAGTGAATTATTAAGTTAGGTAATCCAAGTCTAGGGAACCCAAGCTTGGGTGACCTAGTGGTGAGAGAACATACAAAACATGCTCTCATCCTGGATTCAATTCCAAACGTGGGGAGGGACATTCACATGGGCTTCCCCGGTCCTCTGGGAGATGTAGTCGGGTCAAAGGCCCGGTGAACTTCCGGATTATAAAAAAAAAAAAGTCTAGGGCAAAAAAAAAAAGATTTCGAAATCTAAGAACTCAATATTGAAAACATGACATTAACTACTAAAGATGAAGATCCAAACTAACATGGTCTTTTACACTTGTCTTGGATTCGTACAACATGCTTCGCGAGCTCGATCCACCACCCACTATGCATGACGACGGCGTAAACGGCAGAGATTGGTTCTTGCCGGATGAACGGTCACGATTGAAAGTTGGAGAGGAAGTGACGTGGCTTCTCCGTAGCCCTAATCGAGAACCGTTGATCAGAGAATTCGCTGTCACCGGAGGATTATAAGCTCCGACGACGCCCAAGTGGTAGTTGCCAAAAACCCTAGAATTTGTCCAAGGACAGGAAGAAGTTGAAGCTGGGACTCCAAAACGGTAGCCAAGGGCGGCGTTTGCGTTCGCGTTGGCGGTTGAGAGGAGGTGAACGCGTTTGGCGAGCTGGCGTTCTCTCTTGTGGGCGTTCTGGTGACCTCCTAGGGCTTGTGAAGTTGGGAAGTTTCTGCAACAATAGTGACACTCGAATCTCCTGCTGCTGCTGCTGCTGCTGTTGCTGTTGTTAGCGCTACTATAATGACTAGTGACGTTATCCACATATCTCTTGCTGATGCCATGGTCATCCTCATCATCGTCATCGTGATCATTGTTGCTGGTGTTCTCATCGTTGAGTTTGGACTCTGATTCTTGGCGGGTTTCTCGAGGAGTGACGAATTCGATACCGAAGAGGCGAATCGGCCTTTCCTCGTGTTTATGAGTCGGACGAATGAATGGGAGCTGAGAGAAAGACTCTACGTTCATGAAGTCATGGGTCTTAATGCTGTTTCTCGGCTTCTCCATGAGAGAGAGAGAGAGAGCAGCGATGGAGAGGGGGAAGAAGAGGTGGGGATAGGGGAGGATAAGGAGAGATGGAGAAGGGAGGGGGCCTAAACAGTGCTATATCGTTGTAGTTATATGATAGCGATGGCTTCTGCTTTCACTGTCCATTATTTTTGTTTCTTGTGTTTACAATGTTTCAACATTCAATTTATTTCTTCCATTTAATTCATACGGATGCAAACATAAATACATACAAACACAGACACGCACACACACATGTATATATATATACATATACATATTATATATGGCTGTATATGTTTGTACATCAGACACACGCACACACATTAACTAGAAAAGATGATGTAAATTTCATTGATCGTTTTGGCATTTCCCTGGATCTCAATCTATGATTTATCTAAAAGGGCCTAACCAAGAACTCAATTCTCCATCTTGGATCTTCGTCTTCTTCCTCTGCAATCTCTCAGTTACAATTTCGGATTCGCCTCTCTCAAGTTGTTCAAACGCAAATTCGTATGCTTGCAAGACAAGTAACAGTTACATAACATGAACATATATGTCCATCCCCTCTTGTTTGATTTTAGACTCTCCCCTTCAAGACATGCCTTCTCAAGCCGGGAATATGAACGTTTGTGATGTAATCTCTCCAGTTTATGCTCCCGACATCGAACCCGAACTCTCGCCTCTCTTCCTCCGACATGCTCTCCATCAATCTCTGCATGTTGCTATTGTCAAACCTGCAACAAAAAACAAAAAAACATGACGAACTCTTGAATGTGAGGTGCATCTTAATCCCATGAAATATCACTTTAATTTGACGATGTTTTTTTTTTTACATAGTTTTGAAATCTCTTGAAATTTTGGGTTCGCGTTTTTAACCTATGATAAATATTTTGAAAAAAATTGAAAAACCTTATTTAAACTCAAATTCCGATACTATTGATATCTAAAAATGTTCTCGAGTACTCGAGCATTCAAATACCCACCAAATCGGATTCAAAATCAAAGAATATTACGTGATATCCAAAATATTCGGGTTTAGATTCGGGTAATCCAAAAATTCCGAATATCCGATCCATTTTTGAGGATTCAACTCCACACGAGTATTTTCGAGTAAGACCCATTTGAATACAGGTGATGTGTTTTATTACCTTCCTCCATAGAACGTGTAGGGCTTATATATAGCTGCAAGATACTTTGCTTGCTCCACCGATTTTCTACAGACGAACTCGAGCTTTTGCATCATCTTCCCGTCCGAAGAGCTCGTTGCCGTCAAGCCACTCCGTTCTCTGACGTCTTTCCAAAGATGATCCGAGAAATCTTCGGCCGAGTCGAAGAGTTTCATCAGACGCACCGTGATCGGCGTGCCTTTCGAGTCCACGCACGGCGAAGACTTGTAGTGTTGGTACAAAAGAACGGCCAGGTCCTCGAAAACCAGCGGATTTATCACCGAAGAAGCTATCTGATACACGTTTGTTTCCGGCTCTGGACCCGTTCCATGCTTTGCTATGGCTGCTAGGGTTGCGTTGACTACCATATCCGCCGGAACCTATGAGATAAGACCAAGTTATAACGTGAAAAACATCCGAAAAACCAGTTTCGGATTCGGGTAATAACCCGAAAAATTTGGGTACGCGACTCATGTCCATCCCTAAATATATATACATGCATATACATCATAACGTAAGTTTAAATGAGCTTACCACATCAAGAACGCCCTTCGGGTCCACGAGGAATCCAGTGAGCTGTCCCTTCCCATAACATAAAACTATTGGATCCATCATCCTGTTACGTATAAACACATATTCTGATATTCATATATATGCGAGAATAATTATGCAAAAAGAGTATGTACATACATATGTGATACGTATATGTGCATGCATGTGTATGTTATGACCTGTTTCCTTCCATCCATCCAGGGAAAGGGTCTCTGTACGTGCTTTCGATGACGCTGGGCCTTATTATAACCAAAGGCACGTCTCCTCTAATGCTGTTGATCATCATCTCCCCCATTGCTTTGGTGAACACGTAAGTGTCTTGCCACCCGTAGGTTCTTGCCCTATTCTCATGATCCAAAATTTTACCCAAAAATCATGTTTCTTGGTTCATAAGAAAGACGTTGAAATCCGAGTGAATTCGGCAAAAGATTACCTTTCTAACCCTAATTCCTTCATCTTATGCACCTCCTCGTGATCTTGAAACCCGTTTCTAGCATCTGATGCCAGCTTCAGTTCTTTGTCGACATCCAATAGATCTGTCCCGTTGGAAATCTCTGTGGCTATGCAGTCGCCCATCGAGAATGGCTTCTCCATGATCCTTCCTTGCCTTTGTCCGTTCACATAGGCTGCGGGCAGTATTTTTGGAAATTAAAACAAGCAGAGATATTGTCGTTCTTTTTCCATGTTCTTGATCTTGAAACATATATATACCGATTTTGTCCCCTTTTTTTTTGTTAGATTAAAAGGGACTGACCAGTGGACACTTGCAAGAAGAGTTTGAGGTTCTTGCACTTCTTGGCAAATCTCATGAGATTACACGGCCCTCTCGTGTTTATGCCCAGAGCAATATCATATCTGTGATCTCCCCATAAACGAAGAAAGTCAAAATCATATATACATATATATACATATAGCTTTGATACAACAGTAGAAATCATGAAAAAAAGCATTTCGAACCTTTCATTGAACGTCGTATTAGCAGCAGAATTGATAATCACATCGACGTCTCTGGCAATCTCCGCGGCGAAATTTTCTGGCAATATGTCTGAATCACAAATGTTTCCGGGCACGGGTACGAGTTTGCTCAGCATGAAAGGCTTGTAGGATGGTCCGTGGGTTTCCCTTAGAATCTTGAAAAGCTCTGCATCTAACACCTGAAAGGAATGGCACCAGAGGTTAAAGAATACAGTATGGATAAAAGCACAAAACTTAAACTAATGTTATAAGTGATTAATTAAAGCCGGATTACAACATGAAAAGGGATCTTAATTAACCTCATTCTTCAATCTTTCAACCGCGGCTTCTTTGCTTTCTGCTTTGATCAAGAGATATATCCTCCCCACGTCTGGTGCCATCCTTAAAATCTTCTCAATAAGCACTAAAGATTTCAAAAGAGAAGATGGTGAGACATTTTATCTAGCAAAATGACGAAAACATTAAAAGACTAGATGAACAAATATAGATACAGTTTTCACCTTTTGCCAAAAACCCGGTTGCACCAGTGATTAGGAACCTCTTCCCTTGTAGATAGTTGATGATTCCAAGCCCTTCTTTCAGACCCGCCGAAGAAGAAGTTCCACTGAAAGGCGGCAATGGCTTCCCTCTATTGATCTCTGTTTTTGTTCTTCCATTCTTATTTGGGGACAGGATCATCGTGTCAGAATCCGCAGCTTCCGAGGACGAACTCTCTTCCCTCATCGGTATCTTTTCCCTCTCCTTGGGGGATGAAGAAATCCGGATAGGCCTTTCTCCGTAATTGCTGCCGCTGCTGTCACTGCTGCTGCTGTTATGATTGTTACCGTTCCCGCGGCACCAAGTGAGACTAACCCTTTTCTTCTCCCTGACAAATGAGCACCAATCACGACGACCGCATAACCTTGAAAGCTTGTTCGATGCTGTAATGGAGGAAGAAGAAGAAAGAAAGAGAGCCTCCATAACTGCAGCGAAACAAGAAATAGACAGAGGTCATTGCCGGTGATGATAGTAAGGAGGAAGAAAATCTACTGAACTTGCACCAAAAACTAAACCCAAACAACAACCGTCAAAACCTTTGTTTAGGAAACTTGTTGGTTAAGAAACAGGTGAATGGCAATTAACTTAACCTACAAGGCATCATTACCTTTGTGATGACCGCCGAGTTTTTAATTAGAGGCAGATTAAGTAAAACTAACTGAACTTTTTTTTTATATTTTTTAATTTAATTATTTTTTTTGGGTACTGAGATAACAGAAAAAGGCTTTTGGTGTTTGTTTTTATAAGAGGAGAGAAAGAAAAGATGGTTGGTTCTACGGACCAAAGATGATGATTTTTTTGTTCTGTTTTTCCGGACATTACATATTTAAAGAATTATTACACGACAAAAGATTGCGTGTCAATCTTTTCGCCCAACAAATAAATAACTGATTAATAAATGTGCAAATTTAATTTCAAATTTATAAAAAAAGCGATACATTTAGCAAAACTCCGAAGAGATCAAATCCGGGACACCTATCCCAAAATAAAATGAGGATTAGATTTATTTCCGATTATTTCATATGAAAGAATCTCAAATTGTTTCCCCTAAATTTCTCATTATCCAAACGACTTTTAACTAATGAGTAATGAACTTATTATTCTAAAACAAATAAAAACTTATTAGCATTTTTTCCGATATTTAATTAATTCAAAAAGTGAAAATTCTCAAAGACCATCAAATAGACTTAATGTTATTCAATATACATTTTTTTTTGGTCATTAAGATGTAATATTGGATTTGAAAATGGATAATCAATTGGAAATAAGATGGATGTTTCATTTTCAAGTTTTCGTGTATACGTTAATCCACGTACTATTATTAATTCCACGAAAGAAATAGACATATTGTATAAGCTTGGCCCGCCTTTGGAGATCATCGGGTTAAATCCAAGCCGTCCATTCTATGGGCCCATATCGACCCGTTCGATCTCGGGTCGAAGCCTGAACCGGTCCGACTCGACCAACCTTCCACATCGGCCCATTAGAACGACTCCACCCGACCCGAGACTACACGGATCATATAAACTCAGAGTTTCGTAAAACCTTATTAAACCCTAGGGTGGTTGTTTTTAGTTTAGCTCTTCGTTTCTCATTTTCTTTAGCCCTCTGTCATTTGAAGTTGAAATTAATATTTAGATATCAAATTATATAAAAATAGAAAACAATTTTAAAAAACAAATTAAAAAATTGTGATGAATTACTATTCTCTAGTTATATTTTAAAAAATTCTTTGATAGAGATTAAATTGGAAACTATTGTAAAAAAATGTCTTGAAAATGTAGAATGAAAAATATTTTGAAATATGGAAAATAAACTAAAACTATAAATATTTTGAAATGGAGGAAGTATAAAACAAAAATAAAATAACAAATGTTTAATTTTAAAAAATAAATATGGGGCAGGTGGGGCCAGTGCAATCTCTTGAGACGGCTCGGGGTTTCGGTTTTGTTCTTTGTTTGGTCGTGAGGGTAAGCATTGTATATAGGTTATTAATCGAACCGAATAGTAAGTGTGTATTAGGGTTTCTCACGTTTTTATTTCTCTCCTCGCCGTCTCTTAGACTCCCCCGACACCACCTTCGTCGCCGTAGTCCGACTCACCTTAGCCCTTAGGGTTCGAGTCTGGGTACCCTGTATTTTCTGCGTATCTGACCCCATACCCACCCCTCCCTTGAACCCTGCAAGAACTCTATTTCTTTTTCTTCGGATTTTTAGATTAAATATGGTTGCGGCGTCGAAGCAATTCCAGAAGAGGAAGCTGGATGGGGCCGCGAAGCATGTTAAGCCGTCGAAGAAAACATTTAAATCCAATAAGATGATGAAGGACGATGGTGTGAGGTCTGAGGCGGTTGCACTGCAGCTTGAAGACGAGATTCCTGATTTTCCTCGAGGTTCTTAGAATTCTTCGATTTTCTGTTTGTCGTTTTTTTGTTTGCACCTCTTCTGCGCCGAGAATTAAGTAGCATCACATGGTTGTTTCTTTAGGATTAACTGCAAGAATTAAATTTCTCATGAGCTGTTCTACTCTTATTTGTAGTTGATTTTCACATTTTAATTGTTCTTCCAAGTTTTAAGGAAAAAAACTTGCCTCTTCGATGTTCTGAATTCCTACTTAATTTTCAGGTGGAAATATATCTCTTAGTCGAAAAGAACGTGAGAAAATTCGTGCGGAAGTCGATGTTGAGTTTGATGTTGATGAGCATGTTTCTAAGAAGACTAAGAGGGGAAAGGTCAAGAAGAAGAACCCTGCTGATGCAGACGACTTGGGTTCACTTTTTGGGGGTGGTATTTCTGGAAAACTTCCTAGATATGCCAACAAGATTACAAATAAGGTATATAACTTTCAAGTGTCTTCTATATTTGATTAAATGCGACTGCTCATGCCGGTGTCTGTCATGATGATTCTGGAGGTATTTCGTGGTTTTTCTTCTGGAGTTATGGCCCTTGATTTCTTCTATGAAAAAAAACATAGATCTTTAGTCCGAAGTGATTAGAGACTTTTTTTGACATTTGTATGTCCCACAGGTTTAGTTCTTATGGTCTGATTGATTATCCTGGTGAATTGCATTATCAACCCTCTGGTTAGCATCTTATTGGGTTTTTGTTGAACGAGCTTTTTATGAACGAAGTTGGATTGATGGTAAACAATGCAGCTAAAGGAAAACCCATTTTGAACTTCTAGACATGTTCTTAACAACGTTTATGCGAAATGTTATATGATGCTCTGGATCTGTGAATATTTATTTATCAGCCCTCGTTTGAGGCCTTTCAGGATGCTAATGCTAAGATGTTTAAATCATGAAAAAAGAGATTGTACTGATTTGGATTCCTGGATATGGTGTTACTGCAATGGGAGTCCACTATATGCCCACGGAAAAATAGATATTGCAGCTGCCAACATTATGTGCTACCATTCTATAGATCATATTTTTTCCCCCACTTTTTCTTGCCCTCAATAACGTATGCTTTTAATCATGATGTTTAATCGTGATGAGTATCATGATTATTCGTGTGAGATTAGGAATCACTCATCTATATATTCTCCATGATTTCTAAAATTTCCTTACATGATGATGCTTTCCTGGTAGCTTTTTCAGAATTTCAGAAGGCTATATTTCGATTTTTTTCCCCGATTAATGTTTTAATGAATTCGTGTTCAGAATATTTCCCGAGGAATGAAGCTTTGGGGTGTTGTTGCTGAAGTAAACGAGAAGGATCTTATAATCAGTCTTCCTGGAGGCTTACGAGGATTGGTCCGTGCAAAAGAGGCATTGGATTTTTCAGATTATGAGATAAAGGTAGGCCATATTCAAGTTTTTTTGTCACTTGCACTTTTCACCACTCCCTTTTTTGTGGCCTGAACTGTGTTATTCCCACCTTTCTCAACCAGGATGATGAAGGTAATCACCTTAGAGCCATTTTCAATGTGGGCCAGCTTGTTCCCTGCATTGTGTTGCAGTTGGATGATGATAAAAAAGAAACTGGGAAAAGGAAAATATGGCTTTCAATGCGACTTTCTTTGTTGCACAAGGGGTTCAGTTTGGATTCCATTCAAGACGGGATGGTATGTCTCAGTTTGTTGCTTCTTCCATCTTTCCTGTCTGCTACTTCTATTCCCATCTGCCTCTTTACCTTGGCCGGTATTCAATATGTATGCTGAAGCTGATGCCAACAATATCCAAAGTAGAGTATTCAAAAGACTGCATGTCATATTGAATTGAATAATAGGATACAGGAAATTTGATGTTGGATGAGGTTGTGCCGAAACTAACTGTAGTTTGTATGCATGTGGAAAATATGATTTGTTGATGCAGATTTATTTTCTTAAAAGTTCTTATCTTCTCATGACTTTTTCAAGCATTTCTTCTTTTGCTGATGAGAAATGGTGGTATGCATGCCTGTGATAATATTTTTTACGTATGAGTTAATTGTTTTGGCACTCTGAAATATTTATCCTCTATTTCTTTATGTCACCTTTTCAGGTGCTATCTGCAAACGTGAAAAGTATTGAGGACCATGGATATATCCTTCATTTTGGATTGCCTTCTATCTCGGGATTTTTACCCAAAAGAAGCCAGGATGGTAAGAAATTGTTGCATGGTTTTAGACCTTTTCTGTACCGATGGTTTTGTATTCATCTAGAAAGCTGCTAGGAGCCCTAGGGTACTACTATTGTAGTGATCCTAATATGAACCGTTAATTTGCATTATTTTTGGGAATAAGGCTGAGTTTACCTCTAGAAGTCAAATCATGGAGAAACGGTGTTCCTTAGCCCATCAAGGGTTGATACTTTAAATGATCCAATTTTGCAATTCATTTCCAAAAGCTTTAGTGAATGCATACATAATCTATCCTGAGAACTCTTGGCTGTGTGCTTTGCCTGCTTCTCAAGCATCTTTTTCACTTACTTTTCACGGTTCAACTTGCCAGGAAGCAGGGAGATCGAAGCAAAAATTGGACAGCTTATGCAGTGTGTTGTTACAAAAGTTGATAGAGACCTTAAAAATGTTCGTCTCTGTTGTGATCCGGATGCTGTGGCGAAGTGTGCGGTATGCCTCTGAAATCTGCCAAATTTCAGACTTTTTTCATAATTTGACCAATATTTCTGTGTTTTCCCACTGTGCAGACCAAAGATCTTAGGGGCATGTCCATTGATCTTCTCATGCCAGGCATGATGGTTAATGCTCGTGTGCAATCAGTGCTCGAGAACGGGATTATGTTAGCATTCCTTACATACTTTACCGGCACTGTGGGTTTCCTTTTGTTGTATTGGAAGTTGAAACATCTTTTTCTTCTATAACCTGGTATCTAGGAGATAAGTAACCCCTTGGTTCTGAATTTTCAGGTTGACTTATTCCATCTACAAAATCCTCTCTGCAACAAAAACTGGAAAGATGAGTATAATCAGCATAAGAAGGTACCTGTCTTGGTTTTGTGTCCCCACCTTTTCCTTCCCCTTCTCTTTTGTGAGTTTTATGCTAAAACCTGGTATTACTGTTCACAAATCATGTTCTCGCCTTTCTTTGTTTGCTTTCAACTTTTGTATAGCTTTGGGGTTTCATGCCTATATGCAATAACCAATAAGTCTATGCAATGCCAACTTTAGTTGAATAGATAATCTTTCTAAGACATCAATTTGAGAGTATCATGGCATGTAGGACAAGTTTAAAGCTGTATACTGTTCCTTTGGCTAAAAATAACTTAAAGAATAATGCTTGTCACTGTCAGCAGTTGCCAAAAGTTATGTGTCCTGGCATTCCAAGCTGGAATTAAACTTCTGACTTAGAAATATGTTAGTGTCATGTTGAGTTCAAGGGGATATATAATATTGAGTATCACAGATTTGGTAAATGCTTAGCTCCCTTCTAATCTTCGTCGCGGAGACAGCAAGCTGTCTCCGAGTTCTCCGATTCCTCTGCAAAAACTTTTGTCATGCCCGTTTACCTTTAAAAGTATTTTTCCTTGGTTGTTTTAAATTGTACTTCGGCTTCTTGGGTAAGAATTTCATTTTTATGGCCTTATGTTTGTGATATTCTTGTTTGCATTATGGGTATAAGCATCTGATATTTTGTCTAATCTACATTACGTTTACTAAATGCACCTATTGTTGTCAGGTTAATGCTAGAATATTGTTTATCGATCCATCGACTAGAGCTGTTGGTTTGACATTGAATCCACATCTTGTCCGTAACAAGCCCCCTCCTCTGGTAAGTTAGTGATTATTTTTCATTTACTCCCACATGGATATGATGCTCAGAGGGTCCTAGTATCCTACTAAGTACCATCTCCTCAGTCCTCAGTCAGCAGCAATCAATATGGTCCTGAAGAGGTGTACTTAACTAAAGCACAACACTGTGGCATTTCATCATCTTACATTTGTGCTAGTACCCACTTATTTGATCTTTATTAGAAGGTCCATCTGCTATCTTATGATTTTTGTTTAACCGTTGTGAATCCTTATTCTGTGCGATGTGTGTGGTGTATGTGAAAATACTTGTACCTGTCTATATTTGCTCTTGAAACTATACATTTTGATCTATAAGTTGGCCCCTTTTCAGCATGTTGCCAGCGGAGGCATATTCGACCAAGCAAAAGTAGTTCGGATTGATAGAGGGTCTGGCCTTCTTTTGGAAATCCCTTCTACCCCTGTATCATCTCCAGCATATGTTAGCGTATGTTCACTTGTTGTACTTGTTCTTTGGTGATTTAGGCTCTTGATTTCCTCTGCTAAACCTAGTTTACACCAAATTGCAGGCATCTGATGTAGCCGAAGATGAGGTAAAGAATTTGGAGAAGAAGTTCAAGGAAGGGAGTTGTGTCCGAGTTCGAATCCTTGGCCTTAAGCAGTTGGAGGGGATTGCCATAGGGACTTTGAAGGTTATTTTTGTTGCCATATATTCTGCTAAATTGAATTACCTTGCATATTTTTGGTGTGGGAAAGAGCTTTTCTGGTGCTCATTTTAACCAGCATGATGACCTAAATATTCATTGGGATTAATTTTGATACAGAATAATTCATGTATGCTTCTGTAATTGGTTTGTATTTTCTATAATAGTACATTTATGCCTCTGTAATTGGATAGTAGTTACTATTGGTTTCTTATTAATATTTTTTTATTTTCAACTTTGTGGGATCATTATCGTCTTTTTTATTTTGGCAATGTTTTTACATGGAATAGACAAGTGCTTTCGAAGGCCCGGCTTTCATCCACTCAGATGTCAAGCCTGGCATGGTGATGAAGGGAAAAATCATATCTGTGGATACCTTTGGTGCCATTGTGCAATTTCCTGGTGGTCTCAAAGCAATGTGCCCACTTCGGCATATGTCTGAATTTGAAATTGCGAAGCCCCGGAAAAAATTTAAGGTCGTTATCTTGCAATGGCCATTCTTGTTACATTGTTTGCCGAAGTTTGTGAGTCGTGCAGTACTCTGAACCTTTCTGCGCATAATTTTCATCTCAGGTTGGGGCTGAATTGACATTCCGTGCGCTAGGCTGCAAGTCCAAGAGAATAACTGTTACCCACAAGAAAACACTTGTAAGTTTGTGGTAATTTGTTTCCTTATATGGACCAGACATTGAATATCAAACTTTTTTAAGTCTTTAATTGTTTCTTCATTTACACATTCCTTCATATGCCTAGTTGTAAGATTCATTTTCTTGGTTCAAGCGAGTCTTAAGGGTGATTAGAATATATGTTGTCATACGCAGTATGTGATAAAGAATGTATTCGCTCATCTTGGATTTCTGTTTTTCAGTTTTTCATCTCTTCTCACCTCTTCTCTATTTCATCTTTTATTCCCAAGTGCATTTCATGCCTGTTTGTTACGGTAAACAAATTGGTGTTTTGTCAAGTCTTTTTTAGTCGAGTATTCTATTCACAAAACGTTTCCAAGGAGCTTGTATCCTTTTCTTTCTTGTCTTGCGGAAGGGTAACAGCAAGAGAATTCATATTCGGTTTGCATTTAGTCAGATCTGCTAATTAATTTCTTTAGAACCCTTCAAACATTTATTGTTTGTTTTAGATCATATCTTGGTAAATATTGATTTTACTCTGTAAGCTTTTAGTTGTCGGAAACTGAGTATGTTATTCTGTATATTCTTTGCAGGTGAAGTCTAAACTTCCAATTCTGACTTCTTATGCTGATGCCACTGAAGGTTTGGTAACACATGGCTGGATAACGAAGATTGAAAAGCATGGTTGCTTTGTTCGATTTTATAATGGGGTTCACGGATTTGCTCCCAGGTAATTCTTGGAAACTGTGGGCCATATTTCCGATTGATAGGGTCTAGTCGTGGACTCGTGGATGGTCATGGGCCTCCAATATTGTGAAATTTTTACTGAAACATGTGGGAAGAATTTCTCCAATAAAGGTGTCGTGTGCATTTCCTTGCCACCACAGGTCGCAATTTTTTCCCCCAAAGTAAATATTTTCCCTTAATACTGTCGTTCGTCATGCAGGTTTGAACTTGGATTAGATCCTGGAAGTGATCCTGATTCGGTATTTCATGTCGGCGAGGTTGTCAAATGTAGAGTAACCAGTGCTGTCCATGCTTCACGGAGGATCAACCTTAGTTTTGAGATAAAGCCAGCAAGGTTCTGTCTTTACCAACTGGTTCATGATAATCATCATAGGTTGATACTCTATTATGTATTCTTTCTAATTCTCTTGAGCTCGCATGTCTGTAATGTTTTGAACAGTGTTTCAGAAGATGATTCGATCAAGTTAGGTAGCATAGTATCAGGAGTGGTTGACACCATCGCTCCCCATGCTGTAATTGTTTGTGTCAAGTCTAAAGGTTACCTGAAGGGTACAATTTCTATTGAACATTTAGCCGATCACCATGGTATGTCCTTCTTCAGCATGACCATGTATTTTCATTCTTTCTCTTACTATGTAATCCATCAGTCTGAATTCCTATTTGCCGATGCAGAGCACGCAAAATTGATGAAGTCAGTCGTGAGACCTGGATATGAGTTTAAAAAGTTATTGGTACTAGGTATTCCCTTTCATCATGCTCTCCAATTCCACATCATTGACTTTTCTTTATTTGGATATTTATGCTTCCGAATTAAGTAGCTGTCTTCCTTGTGACATATATGTTTTCCTGCCGTCACTTTTTTTACTATTCTTCTCCGTTTAGCTCTATTGGTGCTGAGGAAAAAGTGAACAAAGAAAAAATTGCATTAAAGTATTTCACAGCCAAGTACTTCAATGGATTTCAAACATGCCCACTACCTATAAATTGTTCTCTTTCCAAGCTCTGCATAACACAAAAAGGGAACTGACTTTTCATGTATAGTTGTTTTATTTATCCCTTTTTTGTTATATTAAAACAACTTAAATCGTTCGCTGTTGACATGTCATGTTTGTGTTAGACATTGAGGGAAAAAACTTGGTTCTCTCCTCAAAACATTCTCTCTTAAAGTCAGCAGAAGAGATTCCTTCAAATGCTAGCCAGCTTCAACCAAACTCAGTAATCCATGTAAGCGGCTGCTTTATCTGATTTTTTAAAACAATTTTTTGATGAACAATTTTTTTGATGAATCCATAAGAAATTCCTTCAAATGCTAGCCATTTACATATAACTCTGCAGTAGCAACATCCTTTTTGTTCTTTTTTTCTTTAACACATTTTTTTTTTCTGTGTCTTCTCTTTTGACCATACTTTTTGATGAATTTGTACATAGGGTTACATTTGTAACTTGATTGAAAGCGGCTGCTTTATCCGATTTCTTGGTCGGTTGACAGGTTTTGCTCCACGAAGCAAGGTAGTTGGTTTTATCAGGTCTTTATGTTTTAAAATTTTTGTTGGGACTTCATGTTTTTTAATGTTTCTCTCTTTTCTTTTGAAGGCAATGGACGAAACTAAAGGAGGTCTATCGGAAGCCTTCTACATTGGACAATCCGTTCGAGCTAATATAATTGATGTTTGTGAATTGTTTGACTCTAGACTCGTATGATTACTTCCATTTAATACTGTTAGATCTTGACCATGGGAAATATTCTTTGTAGATCAATCAAGAAGAGGGCAGGATAACTCTTTCTTTGAAGCAATCATCTTGCTCTTCTGTAGATGCGTCTTTCATTCAAGAGTACTTCCTAATGGATGAAAAGGTTTGTAGCTCTGTATGGATTCCATCTCTTTGTTTTGCCAGTGGGGCTTATGAAGCCCCTTGTTTATTTTGGGGTATTGTACTTAAACGTGACTCATAATATGAGTCATGGCACTGTATTTATGCATAATTTTCATTAGCACTGTACTAGTGTGCTGCATATTCACTAATATTTACACTCCTAGAGAGAGGGCTATGTCACATTGTTGCAAGGAATTGTTAATAGTTCATCACTAAACGTTTTTAACTTTTTGATGTGATAAACGCGATTTGCTCTTGTTCAAGGAAAGGTTGCAGCTTCTAATTTTTGAATCCTTTTTTTTTCTCTTTCAGATAGCCAACCTACAATCATCTGACACCATAGGAACTGAGTTTGGTTGGGTTGAACAATTTACTATCGGGAGTTTGGTTAAGGGAACTGCGCAGGAGAAAAATGACCTTGGAGTTGTTGTCAAATTTGAGAATTTTGATGATGTCCTTGGTTGTGTACCTCACTATCACTGTAGGTTCTTGTTCTACACACTTATAAAATCAATTCAGTAATCTCTGATACAGCTGTATTATAATGTCCGACACATTATATTTTTTGCAGTGGGTGGAGCTGCTGTGGAATGTGGTTCTGTTCTCCAAGCGGTTGTACTTGATTTCTCAAGGGCTGAAAGGCTGGTTGACCTGTCTTTGAGATCTGATTTCACAACTAACTCCGCTAAAGAAGCATCTAGCATTCAATTGAAGAAGGTTTCTCTTGAAAGATATATTCCAGCTGTACCTTCTGTTCATTTCTTCCTCCTTTCTTATATGATCATTGTTGTGAACATGGACCATTTAAATATTAATAAAAGTGGAGGATGAAACATATATTGTAGTAGCTTTATGATTATGATAAAATGTTTCATTTCAGAAACGTAAAAGAGGAATCTCAAAGGAGCTAGAGCTTCACCAGAGGGTCAATGCTGTTGTAGAGATGGTGAAGGAGCACTACTTGGTAAGAATTTGATTGTTTCCTCTTACACTAATTTGGGCCTTTTGCTCAATATCATGTATTCTGGTTATCAGGTTTTGTCGATTCCTGAATATGATTACACTATCGGATACGCATCAGTGTCAGACTATAATACGCAGAACTTTCCTACGAGACGATTTTCCACTGGACAAAGGTGAGTGGTTCCCCTGTTTCTGAAATTACTTTCTAAGTTAAATATACTTTGTTCTTGTCCCTTTATGTACCTTCTTGCCGTTGTTTGATAACGCAAATGAAAATAGGCCTCCAAGAGAATTTACTTATCCTTGTTTTTCAACCCCCTTGAGATTTTTCTCTTGTTATCTGGACTTGTGAAACATTTTGCTGTTCTTCCTACTGTGGTGTATGCTAGATTGTAGTTTTATATGTATATTTTTTTGGCAGTGTCGTTGCTTCTGTTGTGGCTCTTCCAAACCCTTTGAGTTCAGGCCGGTTGCTTCTGCTTCTGGATTCAGTTACTGAGGCTTCCGAGACATCCCGGTCAAAGAAGGCCAAAAAGAAGTCCAACTATGAAGTGGGATCTGTTATCCGGGCTGAGGTTAATACCACTACTCTTTCAATACTTAGTTGATGAATTAGCCTCCTTCTGTCAAAATATGATGCAGCAAAAAATTTGTACGATAGATGAAACTCGATAAAACTAGAGGTCTATAATTATTGCTAAAGCTAACTGAAAGTGACAAGCCTTTTATATAGGCACCGTAAAGCGAATATAAAAATCTAAAATGATAACTCCAGTTGGAAAAAGAAAGAATGGGTAAATAAAAAAAGACAACTTTAGAGTTGAAAAATGGATTTCTATAATAGATATATCCCATAATATTTCCTTACGTTGGCTCGACTTATGTTGTTTGGTGTTTCCATGTTTTGCTTTTCAGATTACTGAAATCAAGCCTCTTGAACTTAGAGTAAATTTTGGCTCTGATTTGCAGGGAAGAATCCATATAACAGAGGTGACTGTCTTGTGTTGTTATTGTTAGTTGTGCATTTAATATGCATTTTGTTTCAACTTTTATGTTAACTATTTTTTAATCAATTAAATGTTTATGTCTCTAAAATGTTGCTTGGATAGGTAAATGATATAAATACTTGTGAAGAACCTTTTGCTAACTTCAAGGTTGGACAATCATTGTCTGCGAGGATTGTTGCAAAGCCGTGTCGATCTAACACTAAAAGGGGTTACCTATGGGAGCTCTCCATCAAACCTGCACTGCTTAGAGGTAAAGCAAGAGATTGATTGATTTGGCAGAAACCAATGTCCATCGACTTCTATATAACTGTCTTGTGGAGCATAACATGTCTTGCATTATTAGTAGTTTGTTTCCTTGGTGGTTTATACCTTCTAGCATTTTGTTGAGGTTCTTGTTCAAACAAAGTGTATCGAACTAGTCCTAAAATTAGTCAACATCCAGCTTGAAGTATTACGTTATACAATTATAAGCATGCAAAAACATGTAGGCTAGCATATGTGTATATGTTACGTCACTCTGCACTTTACTTTCTATCATATGTTTTTATTTCCATCAGATTCCGGCGATTTGAATGACATGCAAATCAATGAGCAGCTCGACTTTTCGGCTGGACAATCTGTCAGTGGGTATGTCTACAAAGTAGACGTTGAATGGGTTTGGCTGGCAGTATCCCGGAATGTGAAGGCTCGCTTATATATTTTAGATACTACTTGTGAGCCTCATGAACTCAAAGAGTTCCAGAGACGGTTCCACCCCGGGAAAGCTGTTTCAGGCTATGTGTTAAGTTATAATAAAGAGAAGAAATCGTTACGGTTGGTTCAGCGTCCAGTGCTTGATGCTTCCCAATGCACTGTAGAGAATGGAAGTGGCAAACTAGATGCATTAGGTAGTAACATTCATGGTGAAGATGCCAGTCTTTATATATATGAAGGAGACATTTTGGGTGGAAGAATTTCCAAGATTCTTCCTGGTGTCGGTGGACTTGTTGTACAAATTGGTCCGCACACTTATGGTAAAGTTCATTTTACTGAACTGAAAGATTCGTGGGTGTCTGATCCACTTGATGACTACTGCGAAGGCCAGTTTGTCAAATGCAAGGTCATAGAAATCAGCCACTCTGTTAAAGGGACGTTGCATATTGATCTGTCACTGCGGACATCATTAGATGGCATGGGTTCAGGCCAAGATTCAGAAGCATTGAATAACATGTAAGATTCTCTTGCATCTTCTAGTCCTTACAGAAAGATAGTATTTAAATATCTCTTCATATATTTGAAAGTTCAATAGAGGAAAAAATTACTGATAAGGTATCTCTAATGCGTTTTGCTGTCTGGTTTAGCTTTATTTTAAGTCGACTTGCTAAAAGGTTCTCCAAAATACTTTCATATTTAACTTAATAATATTATAATTTGCAGTGATAGTGCTTGCAGACGTATAGAGAGGATTGATGATCTTTCTCCTGATATGGTCGTTCAGGTATTTTATGGCCTCAGTGCTCAATGGCTCTGAATTAACTTCATATTTGTTTCCTTATAGTCAATCACTACAGATGGATCTTAAACTCCATTTATTATCATTAACTTTTTCAAGTAGATCTTTTTAAGTAATATATCTCAGCTGTTAAAAAACATGTATATTTAATTATTTATACCTTACTGGGTTCCTTATTCCAGTTAATAAGGTAAAAAATACAGTGTCGGATGAGAGAGTGTATGGATTCCAGCTAGAATCCTTTTATGTATGTTCCTGTGTACTCTGAGAATGTAGAAAGGGGCGAGGAATATTTCTTATTTAGTTCATGAGTTTCTTAGGGCGTACTGCTGAACAGTGTATCTGGATTGGTTTAACCCATTGTGTTATTTATTTACTTTCATTTTTTCAACTTTTACAGGGTTATGTTAAAAATATTATGGCAAAAGGTTGTTTTATTGTGCTTTCTCGGAAGCTTGAGGCAAAAATTCTTCTCTCTAATTTGAGTGATGAGTTTGTTGAGAAACCTGAAAAGGAGTTCCCCATAGGAAAGCCCGTTATTGGCAGGTAGGGTTTCTGTCCTAACAATTTTCCTGTAGAAAACATGGTCTTTGTTCTGCACTAAGAATCTTAAATTTAGGGTGCTTACTGTGGAGCCGTTAACCAAGCGGATCGAAGTTAGTCTGAAGTCAGCAAATGCTGGTAGAGCACGGAAATCTGAAGTTTATGACTTCACGAAGTTCTCCATTGGAGACAGGATATCCGGGAGAATTAAACGTGTGGAGCCATATGGATTATTCATTGTGTTAGATCAGACAAACATGGTACATAACTAGTTATATTTTTCCTCTCTTCGAGTAGTTACCAGACAAAATTTTTGCTTCATTGTTGACCATATACATTTGTGCCAGGTTGGATTATGTCACAAGTCAGAGCTTTCAGATGAACGTGTTGACAACATACAAGCCACGTATAAAGCTGGAGAGAGGGTCACTGTAAAAATTCTGAAAGTATGTAATCACACGTCAGGAAGAATCGTGCAGGGAGTAGTATTATTTTACTTGATTGTTGTTGCTATGGAACACTGATGCTGCTCTTACTCTTTCATTATTTCTCTCAGCTGGATCAGGAAAAGCATCATATATCTCTTGGAATGAAGAGTTCTTACTTTGCAAGTGACGATGATGACAAGATGCAGCCAGCTTCTAGTGAAATGCCTGGTAAAGCCAGCATGCAATGTGATGACATCAGTGATACCGATTCAGAAGCTTCTGCGGAAATTCGTGAGGAAATAACCATCGAAAATGGAACATCAATGGTTCTTTCTCAAGTGGAGTCAAGGGCCTCTGTTCCTCCACTAGAGGTCGACCTTGATGAAATAGAGCAGTACGACTTTGCTGTGGATCAGAGCAAAGTGCAACAAGAGGAAGAAGACAAAAAAGATGAAAAGAACAAGAGAAGGGCTAAGAAGAAAGCCAAGGAGGAAAGGTTGGCCATAGTTAAAGTTATTGTTTTGATTTAATTCCTTATTTGGAGATTATAATGTCGATAATTTTGTTTCCTTGCATCCTGAAAATATCTACTGTCTAGAGAGAAAGAAATACAAGCTGCTGAGGAAAGATTACTGGAGAAGAGTGTGCCTGCTAGTGCAGATGACTTTGAGAAGTTGGTTAGAAGCTCTCCCAGTAGCAGTTTTATCTGGATAAAATATATGGCATTCACGCTTTCGTTGGCTGATGTTGAGAAAGCCCGGTCTATCGCTGAGAGGTATTTCTTTCTACTTCATGAGTTTAACATGCATTATTCAGGAAATGAGAAGCCGTGTAAATGGAAGTGAAGAATACATCCTAGGAGACATTTATTAATACGGGATGAAAGTAGAAAAGTGGTCCATTGGTGCTGTTGGGATATTTCTAATTTTCTACTCACTGGAGACAGAAACTTGTAAAGCATCCAAATGTTATCTGGGGACTGTTAGAAACCACCAGTGTATGTGTGTGTGTGTGTTATGCTCCCGTTCAACGGGAGCATAACACTGTGCCAGTGTGTGCTAGACATATTCTTTATCCATTCTAACTCAAAATCTCTCATGAAGGGCCTTGAGGACAATAAACATTCGCGAAGAGGAAGAGAAGCTAAATGTCTGGGTTGCTTACTTCAACTTGGAAAATGAACATGGAAATCCTCCACAGGTAGTAGAACTGCAGAGAGGGTCTTTTATGTACTTTCTTGTTATCATTAATCATTCACTATGAATCTAAGCTTTCTCTCTTCTTTCCAGGATGCTGTTAAGAAAGTGTTTGAAAGAGCGCTTCAGTACTGTGATCAGAAAAAGGTCTATCTGGCACTCTTGGGCATGTACGATAGAACAGAGCAGAACGAGTTGGCTGATGAACTTCTGGACAAGAAAATGATCAAGAAGTTCAAGCACTCATGCAAGGTGCATATACATGGTCTCTTTGACAGGTATCTTCTCTATTCAGTGTTCTTCACTCACAATCTTGCCATGGCTGTTATCATTTAGGTTTGGCTAAGGAAGGTACAGCAGCTTCTAAAGGGAAATGGGGAAGGCATCCAGTCCCTTGTTACCCGGGCGTTAGAGTGTCTTCCCCGCCACAAGCACATCAAATTCATATCGCAGACCGCTATTCGCGAGTTCAAATGTGGAGTACCCGATAGAGGCCGATCACTTTTTGAAGGCGTCCTTAGAGAATACCCGAAGAGAACAGACTTATGGAGTGTATATCTTGACCAAGTTCGTATATTCTCCCACTCTATATCTCCACTCTGTTTGTATCTTTGTGGCATATACATAACTTATGCTGTCTGAGAACATACGTACAGGAAATTAGGCTTGGAGATGTTGATGTGACTAGGTCTCTGTTTGAGAGGGCTATCAGCTTGAGTCTTCCTCCGAAAAAGATGAAGGTACTTAAACTCCATAACTAATACTTGCACCCATTTTTCACTTAGCCATCGGGTTTAGTTTAAAGTTCACCGAGTAATGCTTTTGCTGGAACGTTCTTTTTGGCATTGTGCAGTTTTTGTTCAAGAAGTACCTTGAGTACGAGAAATCTCTTGGCGACGACGAGAGGGCTGAGGATGTGAAACGAAAGGCCATGGAGTACGTCGAGAGTACGCTGGCTTAAGAACGATTTTGTATGACGAGGTCTTCAGTTTTGTAGGATTAATATTTTTGGACGAATTCAAGCTTGTATGGGGATGAATTTGGTTTTTTTTAATCGAAAATTGATGTTCGAGATAGCCGAAAATGAACTGCGGACATAATTTTGGCCTTGGTTCGGGTCTGGGTACCGCGAGGTGCCGGGATATTCGGATATGTAAATCATAATATCCTTAAGGTATCTTAATTGTACTTGAATAACTTTTTTGTTTTTCTCACTGTAGTGGCGATGTGGTTATACGACACGCGAGTGTTCGGCCTTTGTTTTAGTTCGAAATCACCATTCATCATTCGTCATCAACAAATGCAAGTTTCTTATTTCTTTATTATCTCAAGATCCGAACACCGAGTTTCTCACTTTTCTTCTTCTTCTGAAGTCATTGTGTAAGTTACATTTTGTCCCTTTCCTCGATTCCGTACACAGAGACACCCAGTACCCTCTCATCCTCATGCTCAAAAACCACATAAATTTATCAACTTCTGTACAAAACTAAGTTTTTAGAGAGAATTACCCACAAGAGAACTAAGCAGCTCCAGACTCCGATTGTCAGCCTAGTAGTAACCCCCGATTCGCTTACTGTAGATAACAAAAGCACGTTAGCCTCGAGAATTTGCTACAAACTAGTAATCCAACAGCTTGGTTAAATTTCATTACCAGAGATTAAGGGACTGAGCCGCCATATGCCAAACTACGGATATTTCAAATCGTGGAACTGATTAGAGAAATGATTTTTCGGCTACACTACTACAGCCTCGGGTTTTATCTTCCCTCTCATTCCTTGAGCTGAGAGGAGAAGCAGAAAGAAGATAGAGTGACTTAGTTTAAGGCATAGTGGACACGCTCCAGTAACTGAACGACTTGGTGCAACTGTAACACGAGTGAGGAAGGAGAATGTTGAAGTTTTGAACTTGATTTCAAACAACTTGGAGATGGCACATCTGCCATTAAAACCGCCTCTTGCTGTATACTAGTAAGCTCCAGAAACTGAGCAAGCATATCACCGTCTAAGATTTTTTTCGCCTTAGCCTGCCAAAAAAAAAGTACTTTTGTAATATAATATCTAAGATCGACCAAAAAGGTTAGTCAAGCTCCAGAAAGACAATTTCAGTACAGACGGATTATTCAACTAATCCCAAATTCCCAATCGCCTTTTAAAAGCAAATCTGATATAATCTTTGTTTGAGGGCTAATCCCAAACGTCTTTCAAAATTTCAGTTTTGCTAATAAACCTGCTTCCTTCCTAACGCAGCAATGCTCTCCTTCATCAAAATGAGATATCTATGACAAAATCAGCGGTGAGGAAACCATAATTAAAGTTCTAATTGCCAGAGCTTTCCCTGCTCCAGTGAGTTTATAACTACGTTTTTTGGTTCACTTACAGGATTCTCACGACTTCGGAACTCATTATGATCATTCCCGAGAATAGGTGCAGTCAGTGGATGGACCGCAAGCCTAGCCTGGACAGCTTCTAGAAGTTTGAATTCCTCCCTACAAAAGAATATGCGATCATTCATACAGCTTATCGTACATGGTAAAAAGGCAAAGTATCAAAATCCACATCTCTGATGCAGCTTAAACAATAACAAAGGATAACATCAAGCTGAAAAACACAGCACCTAGTGACAAACGCTAAACGTAATTCAGAGACATCATTTGATTATTTTTTTGGGGGGAAAATCTCCGGATGGGATGGAGTCCTCAACTACCACTGGCTGTTCATTTTTGTATTGCTAGAAAGGTTGCGCTATAAATAGAGGTTTGCAATATGATTGCAGTCTTTGCTATTTTCATATGTAGATGTGAATGACAATACTATACTATAACCCAGTTGTTTCTTCTTTCCTGTTTATCGAATCATACCTTGATATAGGAACAAATATGAATATACTCCCTAATAGCGTGCCAGCTATGATTGTGTTCTGCACTGTGTCGATACTTATGCTGAGACCATAAGACTTCAGCACATCATCGGCAGGAAGTTTGTAAACATAACACCCCTGTGTTATCATTAGAAAGATGGGCAAAGATGTAAAAAGAGGAAAATGAAATAAGAGGATTATACAGTCATTGGCCTACAAGACAGTTAAGGTTCAGAGACAAAGCAAATAAAGAGTATATCTTATCAGCTTATATTCTTCTGTTGCTTCAGGGCATGTTTGGGAGAAGCAACGATGAGGCAGTCTCATGAAGAGAAAACTGTATGTCATTTCTTTACGATGACTAATGTGTTACCAAGGCTGTCTTTGCTACAACGATTAAGAATAGGATATGTTCCAAGCTATACTCTGTATGTATTTCGTTTAGTTGAGTAAAAGGAGCTCTTAACTATTTATTTAGATAAGCTCGTAAGATGAAAGCTTGCTATTTCATTGGACACAGGCAGCGGAATAGAAAATCATTAATATAACCAAATTAACTATTTAGATTTTGGTAAATTAGCCTTTTAGATTTTTGGCGAACTTATGAAATTTATATCGTGATAGATTTTGGTAGAACTCCTGGTAAGTTTATAGGTGTTACCTTTCTGATGGTCATGGCTATCTCACCCATGTAATAAGCACAGTTCAGGTTTAGGTTGGACTCCGGACTTGAATATTCTGTATCAAGAAACAGTAGCCAGTCCTTAAAAAGTGCAAGGAAAAATAAGAAAGAACCAAGATCAGTGTAGCCTATCTTTCAGACAATTTTTTAATTATTAGCTAACTTTAACATTTGCAGAATGAGAATGATTCCACAAAAAGCTAGGAGAGTCTTAAGAATGTAGCCAGAAAAAGATCACTAATCCACTGTATAGCAAAAGAAGCTTTGTAGGGTTTGCTTTACAAGTATAAGAACACAATGCATACCCATATTTCAGGGCGTGCAGAAAAACAAAGACTATGGCAACAAGAATGGATGACCTGTATTGCTCAAATGCAAAGAGCAAAAACACCAAAGAACCACTCTAGAAGAACATAGTTATCATAACCCTAAACATCTTGTGATTGAATCCGCCAAATAATAAATTAATTCAATTTCTATCTACATTAATCCCCAACACCAAATACACCGTTTCATATGATTGAATCCACCACATAAAATCAATTCAAATTCTATCCTCCATTAATCATCAACACCAAATCTCAAGGATGGTTCAGATGTTTTTCATTCAACAACAATTTAAATGGCTACGTTGAGTCCCTTGATAAGCAAGTATATGAAATCACTAATTGATCACGTGTAAATTAAATTGGGAAGAAATTACAACAAAAACTGTAGATGTAAAAGCTAACGAGAAACCACTGAAGTTATCTGGTTTAAAATGACTGTTGTTCATAAAGATGAGGAATTATCTGGTTTTAGGCCAAATTAGGAAAGCTATTCCAACCCCAGAAAGTGTTAACGCTAGTCTGATATGTAGGGGCTCGAACACAACATTAAAAGTATCAACAGTATGGTTGCTTAATAAATCCATTCAAAATTCTGGCATTTGATCTCAGCTTACATGTCATGAAGAATCTAAAAAATGGTAACAGTTTTTGAAGTGTGTTCAACCAGCTTGACTAATTCAATGTGCAATTATATATCATAGTAGCGGGCACTATTATTCAAAATGCATGAAACATCTACTACTACTAATACAATGCCCATTTGGATATTGATGTCATCTTTAGCTTCAACAAAGATCGTATTTTTCTATCTGCTGTGTGAAGTATTTTGGTCACACTGAGCACTACAGAAAGGAAGGAAAATAAGCTATTATAACAACCCACAAGCAAAATGGCTATGTGCTACGTACCATATTCTGACCGATCTGTGCAAGATAAGATAGCTACACTCCCCTTACGATCAGATACAGCAGCGGTATTGGCATCCATCAGTAAGCAATCAGCAACTAACCGTTGTGATGGATCAGAAAATGTTTGGTACAGTTTCTTCACGTCCTTCAATAACAGGAAAAATGTAAAAGAACCTCCAGTATCAATAGCTAAAATTTTAGCAGAACAATAAATGGACATTCGAAAATCTATAACAAGAAGATAATTTCTTTCTGTAGAAAGGGGTTACAGAACAAACCTCGTGATAAGAATAGAAAAGGACACCATCACGGCAATCCCCAACGGCTATTCTAGTGAAATATGTATTCAGAGATGTTATCATGAAGCGTGTCCTTCCTACCGCAAACCTCTTCATTCTCTCAGGGTTATCATTCGGGAAACCACATACATAAAACTAAACAAAGGTGAACATATCCATTAGCTGCTTAACATGAACTGTCAACATCGAAACTGTAGATCATCAGTACGAGACTTACAGCATTGCCAGCAGATGCCAGGAAGTAACGATCAAGATATGGACAGATGGCAAGTACCATTCCTGGCCAAGTGGTTGCAGAGGCCAATCTCAACTGCCATGCTTCGACCTCATCAAGTTTAATTCCGTCAGAACTGTTGTCGTCTGGACTGCTGCAGAAACTACCTCCAGATAGTTGTTCCGTGGTGTGTCCCACAACGTCACGAAAAGGTGACATGCGTTGGGAAGACGATCCAGCCTTTGAACAGAATGTCACTGAACCACTATCTGAGTTTTGTGTGTGTTCAATGCAGAGAATAATTAATCGGCCTTTTGTGCTGCGAAACAGACATTCAAAAAGAATTCATACAATCAGCATGAACCTCATAACACTTTCACAAGGGCTCCGGAATCATTTCGGCCTTCCCAGGAGACACTAACCAATGCGTTATAAAATGGAGAAATTAAATATGAAAATTTAAGATTCCAAAGCAAAATAAATATTTTAGTCCTGCTAATAGAGCTGAACAAATCATCTATAAATAAAATAGAACTAGTGCTTATTGCTGCGGACTCATCAAGAAACACCTCCATAGAAAATGAAAAATCAGCATTCTTGAAAAAGCTAAGACTCAAACCTTTCAGCTTCACCACTAGGCAGTATAGCGGGACCAGACGATAAACTCGTCCCAACCACAAGGACTTGTTCATTTCCCACGCGTAAAAGTTCCATTGACTTTCCAGTTTCTCCATGTTTGAGCTTATACGATGACAACACTGACCCACTAAGTGGATCCACACAGCATACATCAGATGCACAAGTATCCTGCAAATCAGTTCTCATCACAATCAATAGTTTGCTTTCACTATGATATATGACCTTTCGCGGAGTGCCTCCAAGCTGAAACTTCTGCACATTTAGCCGTTTGCTGTGCACCATCTCCACCTGAAAATAGAAGCATATACATTAGCCTGTAGAACATACTATTTACAGTAGTAAAAACTACACGCCAAGAGATGTTGAATAGTGAATTAGGTAACTTAAACTTTAAAGGAAGCAATCGGAAAATACAGTTCCGCTTTCTTCAGTAAGACGGTAACAATGCTCACTGAAAAGCTGAAATGATAATACATATAAACGCAAAAACTTACTAGATGTAGACAGTTCTCTGCAACAAAAAGAATTCCTTGAGGACAATCAGATGAACACACAGGAGTTGCATGAGTGGAAGGTTGGAATGAGATGGAAGTATAAGAAAGACTCTGCCTTGCTGTTTGCAACAACCATGGCCTGTCGCTAAGAGCTATGATGTCTGAATCTAGTGAATCGCTGAAAGGAACCAGGAAAACAGGAGTGATGCCGATGCGACGGGTGGCAATTAACAAAAGATTGATGGGTGAAAGGCTCTTTTCACCCAGAACAGTGTCCATCACTTCTTCAGAGTGACTGACAGAATCTGGAAAATGCAACCCGGATGAAGGTGGAAAAGTAGGCCACTCAAAACGAAGTAGCATTCCATTTCTCAAACCGCATAGGACATAAAACTGATCGACTAATACAAGTCTTACATCTTGCGGGATGCATCCATTTATGGCTGTTCCCATAGTATTTGTTAACAATATCAACCCAGAAGCAAGAATTCGTAACCCATCACCATCTTCTGAGCAGGACAGAACCTCCACAGAAGGCTTATGTGTGCCAATTACAAATGTATAGCCTCCATCCATACCAGCAGG